CAAGTACATTGTTCTTAAACATTCGTTCTTAAAAATCGTGTTAGTACATATTGGGTTCAACGTTCTCAATATCGTAACAAAATAGTGAGAAGAGACTAGAATATTCATAGTTTTATGTGTGATCCATCCGTAAATAGTAAACCCCCTTATTGAATTCTAACTTTGCTTTACAGATTTTCGCGTAACTGTGTGGTGGATAAGGACAAGCGGAACCAGTGTCGCTACTGCCGGTTGAGGAAGTGCTTCAAGGCGGGCATGAAGAAGGAGGCGGTCCAAAACGAGCGGGACCGGATCAGCTGCCGGCGGACCTCCAACGACGACCCGGATCCGGGAAATGGGCTGTCGGTGATCTCATTGGTCAAGGCCGAGAATGAATCGCGCCAGTCAAAGGCAGGCGCTGCTATGGAGCCAAACATAAACGAGGACCTCTCCACGAAGCAGTTTGCCAGCATCAACGACGTTTGCGAGTCGATGAAGCAGCAGCTGCTGACCCTGGTGGAATGGGCAAAGCAGATCCCGGCCTTCAACGAGCTGCAGCTGGACGACCAAGTAGCCCTGCTGCGAGCCCACGCTGGTGAGCACCTGCTCCTCGGTCTGTCGCGTCGCTCAATGCACCTCAAGGATGTCCTGTTGCTGAGCAACAACTGTGTGATTACCAGGCACTGTCCAGGTAATGTTCACGGATCAGGTATTGGGTCTTAACTATTTTGTAAGCCTTTCTTTATTTTCCCTTGCAGATCCCCTTGTGTCACCCAATCTGGACATCTCACGAATTGGCGCCCGCATCATTGACGAACTGGTGACGGTTATGAAGGATGTGGGCATCGACGAAACTGAATTCGCTTGTATCAAGGCCCTAGTCTTCTTTGATCCCAGTGAGTTTTCCCCGGGTTTACCATGGATAGAGTGTTTTAATATATATATATACCTTCTATAGATGCCAAAGGCTTAAATGAACCACATCGCATTAAATCGCTACGGCACCAGATACTCAATAATCTCGAGGACTACATATCGGATAGGCAATACGAGTCACGCGGTCGATTTGGCGAGATCCTGCTAATCCTGCCGGTTCTGCAGTCTATCACCTGGCAGATGATCGAACAGATTCAGTTTGCCAAGATCTTTGGTGTGGCCCACATCGATTCATTACTTCAGGAAATGTTGCTGGGAGGTGCGAAGATATACAAATTTCGGTGTACTCGGAATAATAACTGATTAAATATTTGTTTGTGCTTTCACAGGAGAATTGGCCGACAATCCTCTGCCCCTGTCGCCGCCCAATCAGTCAAATGACTATCAGAGCCCCACCCACTCAGGCAACATGGAGGGTGGCAGTCAGGTCAACACCTCCCTGGACTCGATGGCCACAACCAGTGGCCCAGGAACACATTCTCTAGACCTGGAAGTGCAGCACATCCAGGCACTGATCGAGGCGAACAGCGGGGAAGATTCCTTCCGAGCCTACGCGGCCAGCACGGCAGCTGCATCTGCTGCAGCCATCTCATCCACATCTTCTGCGCCCGCATCCGTTGCCCCGGCCGCGATCTCGCCCCCGCTCAACAGCCCCAAGTCACAACAGCAACATCACCAACATGCGACGCACCAGCAGCAGCAGGAGAGCTCCTACATGGACATGCCCGTCAAGCACTATAATGGCAGTAGGAACGGATCATTGCCCTCACAGCACAGTCCCCAGCGCATGCATCCCTACCAAAGAGCGATCACCTCGCCGGTCGAAGTGTCCAGCGGTGGTGGCGGCTTGGGTCTGCGCAATCCCGCCGACATAACGCTCAACGAGTACAATCGAAGCGAGGGCAGTAGTGCTGAGGAACTTCTGCGTCGCACTCCGCTGAAGATCCGGGCATCGGAGCTGTTATCCGCATCCGCTGGCTATGGAATGGGTAAGAAGTATTGGAAAACAAACAAAAGTGGCAATTTTTTGTAATATTTAGAAATGAAATCATTATAATTATTGGATCGGCTACTTATCCATAGGCGAAATTCATATTAGATTTGAAGACTGTAATTATTAATTATTATCATGTATGAATATCAAACACTTTAGGAAAAGACTAAACTTATTTTATAAAAGGCTACGCATTAATACATAAGAGAACCTTATCAAACGTAGTAAAATATATTTGTTGTATCTATTCCAGAACCCTGTAGGATGACGCTGAAACAGGAGCCAGAGACTGGTTACTGAAAGGAAGGATTAATCGGTGCAATATTCAGTTTGCAATAGGACACCCTATAAGCACACGCCCCACACACATACAGGCCCACTCTTGCTGTACTCCCCCCACCAAGTGCTACACAGAGATAAAATTGAAAATGAGGAACTTACTTAATTGTTATGTCTTGAATCATTTTGATACTTTTTATTAGTCCCTAAGTAGGTATCTTGGAAATTGTTGCTTAATTTTTAAATGTTTAACGCAGTTGAAATCTATTTTTGGAGTCATATTTTGCTCAAGAAGTTTATTATGAATAACTATATATAAATACACCATCTAGCATGTACTGAGTTTGTTGGTTATTTGGTTATCTTTTACTTGTGCGTGGATCACAAAGCATTCATATAGGCCATGCAATATATTGTTTTAGGTTAGGGTGTTGTCTAGATTATGCGCTGAAAGTGTAATATATATTTAATGCTAAACAAAGAACTATTTTTATATGAGTATGTATAATATACAAACTACTTCTAAGATGGCTGAATGAATAAACACAAAATCAAAATACGAATTGGAGAATTTAAATTACTTCCCACTGGTGTTTTAATTGTGTATGGTAGTTATAGCAGGTATAATCAGACGATTGGACAATTGTGTTTTACAAACTTTACTGTACATGATCGAGCAAGGTAAAAATATAACTTCTATCTATACTGTAGATTATACAGTATAAAAAAAAAGATGGCTATAGTTGAGTGCCTCGACTTAAAATATTAACTAATGTCCCGACTTAATAGATTTTTGGCAGGTCGGTAAATATTGAGAAATTAAAAAAAAACAAGCTAACTGATACTTGGCTGTAGCTAACATAGGCTTTATGTCCACTAATTGAATCCACATGACAAATTTTAACTCCACCTAGCGCGACAGGAACCCCAAAAATCTGTATGCCAACCAAACTTTTACCTTTAACAGTAGTTTCAGAGATCACAGCGTTGACACGGACAGACATGGCTAGAATGACACGGATCCTGATCAACATTATATATACTTAATAGGGTCGGGAATATTTCCTACTAGCTGTTGCATACTTGATCCTGATCAACAATATATATACTTAATAGGGTCGGGAATATTTCCTACTAGCTGTTGCATACTTTTCCCCAGTTACAATATACCCTTTTACAAGTCTACAAGTGATTACATTTCTAACTCTTGAGAAGCTGTAGAATTAAATTGCGAACAGCCTTTTTGAGCGTCTAATGAGGTTCACCCCTTAAATTACTTTCTAAACTTAACAAAAGACAATCCCAATAGCAGAGTGCAAAGAATACTTAACATTTATTTATCAATATTGCTAATGCCCGTTTTCTCGACCTGGGCGAGGAGCTCCTGGAGCTTGTTGTCGAAAAGTTCGCATCGGATGGGCATCTCCAGCGAGTAGAATGGGTTTTTGAGGACGTAGTCTGAGTACAGCTCGTAAACCTTTCGCAGCAGCAAATCGATTCCATTAAGACCCGTTTCCGAGATGACAATGAACTTGATGCCGGTCAGCGTTTGGAAGCAGTGCAGCGTGAAGGTGTCGGCCTCCAGGAGCTCTATGCCGGAACTCTTGGGCTCCGGACTCAGTTGGCTGGCGATGGCGAACAGTGGATAGAACATGCTGGCGAGAAAGATCTTCTCGTTGGTGGTCATCTTGGGCCTGCTGAATTTCAAGTTGATAGGATAGTTCTCCGGTGCCTCCAGCGTTGTCCTCACATCGCGTCCATCATCCAGGGTCACTCCGTTAACGGGCATTCCGTTCACCGCCACCAGGACATGACCCACTGTCCGAAAGGATTAATATTATCAATTGATCATAATACCCAATTCCGAGACACTCCCACCATTTATTCCATCCTTCCTGTTGAACGACACCGATACCTTCTTGGAATCGTAGTCTAGCACTAGGTCCAGTGGGTACGTGAAGGTCTTCTCGTGCTCGATGCGTGGGACATTGTTGTCCAGGTTGAATATCAGGCCACCTGATTTACTAACTATATAGACACCATAAATAATCATGGCTAAATGTGTGTGTTTTGGGGATGTTTATCTTTTTACTAGCCAGCTGTTCGCCTCGGAACCAGTTCCTTTTATGATTCCAGTTCAGGTTCCCCTGTAAAAATTCTTTTAATACCCTTACCCCACAGAGCCCACAGAAAATGTTCAATACATGTTTTTATGTATCTCCTGGACGCAAGCTGCTCAACATTCTTCTGGGGCTACAGAAAGTCGATCAGTAGCGATCAGTAGGCGAGCAGGAGGAAAAAGGGTTTCACCGAAGAACCATTAGCTTACTATCGTATAATGGAAGAAATTCATGAATGGTTTTAAATTAAATTAGTTAAAACTAACAAACACCCTGATTTGACGAATTCGCGCTTACTAGCAAACTTTCATGTTTATTATCCGAAAACATTTTTTTATTTGATATTTTTAATATAATAACAATATAAAATGTAACATTTGCCTTCGACAAGAAAATTATAAATTTCTGTTAATAACACGTGATGTTGAAAAAAAAACTATTTTAATGATAGTTACGTCAACAATGATGTTCACAGTATTAACTAACATTTTTCATATTTAAACGTGTGTTTCAATTTACGAAGCCTGTTGAAAACTAAGTTATTTTATTAAGTGTAGATTTATTTTTATGTATCATTTTACATTCTACTATTAAACGCAGGAATTATTTTGCGATAAGGGAACCAGAACAACTATCGTTTACTGACCAGGTGGAACTGGTTCGAGATCGCGAACCAGAGTCGCGGCTAACAAGCCGAGGTGAACTGGTTCTCAGGCGAACAGCTGGTCGGTATTAGGATTAAAAATAAACATAATTGATTTTCTGCCCGAAAGTATACGTAAACGCGTAGTCGCTCCCACCTGGTAGTGCACCCGAGTAACCGACTTCCAATACTCACGGACAGTGATGGGTTCCGACGACCAGAGTGCCGGGGACCGGATTCAGAAGGGATTTCAGATCAACTATATGATTCTGCGGGACGCCGACAGTGGGAAGATTATATGGCAAGAGAACAAGGACTTTTCAGCACCGGATCTGGAGCACGAGGCTCGGGTGCCGGTAAAGATATTGGACATGCGAGCGGTTTCCCGGGAAATTAACTTCAGCACCATTGAGCCCATGGAGAACTTCCGACTCGACCAGAAGGTGCTCTTCAAGGGCCGCATTATGGAGGAATGGTTCTTCGAGATGGGGTTTGTGGGCGCCAACACTACCAACACCTGGCAGTCGACAATCGAGGCAGCGCCCGAGTCCCAGATGATGCCCGCCAAGGTCTTGAATGGCAATGTGACGATCCAAACCAGTTTCTACGACAACGAGACACTCATCACCAAATCGGTTGTGCGCCTGTACTACATTTAGGCGACTGTGAGTCATCTGCCCGCGACCAGGTGTTCTCCCATCCATTCACGCCTTCTGGATCTTCTCCACACATACTTCGCTTTAGAGAACTTCTGCATTTCTATGCAATTGTTTGCGCGTTTATTACCTAGTTGTAGTCTAATGCATTTTAATCTAATTTTACATTTACCACATTAATTTATTAATAAAAAATTAACAATTTGAGTGCGCATAAATCAAGGAATGTGTTAGCACGAGCGCAACAAGGCATGCTTATGTACAAATCTTTTGTAGACTGTCAAAGGTGGACTAAAAATAGCTATAAAACATTGTGTCATTTGAGAAAATATATTTGAATCTAAAGATCTTTGTACCACTTGTAATCACTCCATAAGGTCTACCAAAACCCTCTAAAGTATGAAGTATGATGATATCTTACATATAAATTGTTGGAGAAAAGATCGAAAATTATTCTCGAAAAGTTGTACTAGATATAGCTGTACGCAATTTGTCAGCAAATATAAGCAAACCTTGAAGAAAACTAGGAATACCTTTTTTCCCTTGCACAGTAATTAGATTAGAATACGCAATCCAAATACGTCTTTGGGTACCTATTTTATTTTAGAAGCGCTTAATATACTGCACCTTTTTCGGATATATGGGTCAATCATATAACAGATTTTGTCTGTCTCTCTTTTACTTTCATACCCATGAGCATAATCCCATCCAGATCGCAGGCTTGCCTTTCGGCTATATATCGCTAAAGTTGGTATTTAGATTCGATGAATATTCAACGATTGGAATCGCGAAAAGTGGCGATCAAGTTTGGTAAAGAGGAAGATTCGGACAGAGTGCTGACTTGACCCCATTTACTTTAAAAAATATCTCGTGCCCGGTCAAGAGTCACTCGAATATGCCGAGAAAGTTTTCTTGGTGGGCACAGACCTCAGACAGCCAACAGTTCGATTCCATCTGGCAAAACCAGTAGATTGAAACATAGCAAAACGTAAAATGGCTCGGTTAAGTGGATTTGTACTGCTCCTTGCAATCGTCCTTTTGGCAATTTTTGTGGCCGATTGCCTCGCGGAGAAGAGCACTAATAGACAGAAGCAGCAGAATCCCAGACCTGGAAACCAAGGCTTAGGTAACCGCAGAAACAAGCGTCCTAATCCCCAACAAGGACAGAAGCAGAAGCTCGACAAGAAACAGGTGCAGAGCGCCCAGGAACCCAAGGTTTTTACTGCAACGGTTCCCGTTTTGGGAAGGCTCCGAGGAAGAACTCTCACCACCGATTGGACAGGAAAGAAGATAATGCAGTTCTTGGACATACCCTATGGAAAAGCGGAGAGATTTAAGGTTATTAACTAATATCATTACCAGGCTGTAGAATAATAATATATTATTCTCTCATCTTTAATACACAAGTGTTGGGCCTTCTCAGTTACTTGATTTACATCTGTCCTCGATAGTGAAACATGTAAAATAAGATAGCATACAAGAATATAAAAAGAATAATATATACGTAAAAAAATGATTTCACATTCTCCCCGACGGGGAATTGAACCCCGGTCTCCCGCGTGACAGGCGGGGATACTAACCACTATACTATCGAGGACGGCGAGCAACGTTGGTCGAATAACGTATACAAAACTGGCTCAGAGTAAGCTAAACGAACTAAAATTAAAATCTAAAAATAGAAAAGTAAGAATAAGAACAAAGTTATAGGCCAACAAGTTGTCTGCCGATCTGCCTGAAGCTATAAATAAATTTAAATTTATTTGAACTCTGGTTCCCCACAGCCAGCTGAACCAGCACCGTCTTGGAGGGGCGTTCTTCCCGCCCATCGACCGCACGCCGGCTGTCCATCCATTCAGGACCTGGTCGCATTTGCCAAGCTAGAAGAAAATGGCTTTGACGTGGAGGACTGTCTGCGGCTCACAGTAAACACCAAGGCGGTATGTATATTTGTAACTTTTAACAGGCGCCTTGAAAAGTCGCTTTAAAACGAATCTAACGAGTCTATTTGCACACCAGATGGAGGGCAAGTCCTCGCCGGTAATGGTGTACATCCACGGAGACTTCTTCTACGACGGCGACTCCGTGGAGGCAGCTCCAGGATATTTGTTGGAGCAGGATGTCGTCCTGGTGTCCGTGCGCTATCGCCTTGGTCCTTTTGGCTTCCTGTCCACTTTGACCGAGGAGATGCCTGGCAATGCCGCGGTCTCCGACATTATCCTGGCGCTCGAGTGGGTGCAGCAGCACATCGTATCCTTCGGTGGCGATCCACAGCGAGTGACGCTCTTCGGCCAAGTGGGCGGAGCAGCGCTGGTCAACGTGCTCACCCTGAGTCCGGCAGTTCCAGCAGGCCTCTTCCACCGCGTCATCTATCAGTCGGGCACCGCTCTGTCGCCCGCCTTTATCACGGACGCGCCACTGGGCTCCGCCAAGGCCATCGGGCGGATCGCAGGTTGCAAACAGCCCGCCAAGGTGGATCAGCTGAACAAGTGCCTGGCCCGCCTGAATGCCACCATGCTCCTGGCCGCCTTCAGCGTCCACGGCGAGGACCAGCCCTCGTTGTCGGGTGGAGCGTACGGGGGAGTGCAGCTCGTGATTGGAGGGCCATCCGGCATTCTGCCGGAGCACCCCGGTCGCCTGCTGGCCGCCGAGAAGTTCCGGGCTTATCCCACAATGGGAGGTAGCGTCAAGCACGGCGGCACCTTCATGCTCAGAGGTAGGTTGGGCGAACGAAGGACGCTATTTTCATGAATCATAAGCAGGTGCATATGCCTTTCCTTGACTTATTACGAGACATAAAAGGGCTTAAATAGTCAATAGACGACCAAGCAGTATTTGGTAAGTCCAAAAGTACATATTGCAAAAGAGTCGATCCGACTTATATACTACCTGAAAAAGAAAGAAGACTTTTAGGACGGTTTCCTTCCGATGTTAAAAATGGAAAGACTTATTTCGACTTGGCTGTTGCTGATCAAAAATATATATGTATAACAAGTTTTTAGGGTCGGAAACGTATAATTCACTGCGCTGCAACTGTTGGCTAAAATGACGATACCCTCTGAATGAATCGGAATGGTTAATATGTCCGTACTTACAGTGCGATAAGCCCCATATCGTATGTATTTGTATGGACATATTAAGTCAAATTTTTTTTTTTATTTCATTGCAGACATTTTTGCGGATATTTTCAACGAGACGATTTTGGATGACAAACTGACCGCACGGCAGTATATCGATACCATTATCGAACAGGCCAATGGCGCGGATCCCACTGGATCGTGGAGGGAGTTCTCCGACGAGGAGATATTTACTGATGCTGATGTTAAGAACGGCAGCTTTAGGCGCCTAACCCCTGGTCTGATTGATGTATGTGTTATTCATTATTGGTTACTGGTTTTTTAGTTCAATCAATAACAGATCGTACAGCTTTTATTTTAGCTTTGTGCGAAAGTTATGTTTTGAAGACATAACCTTCTGGAAGTTTCTTGAAATTAGGTTATGTTTTATTGTTTATTAATTGAGTACTTTTTTCATCTAGCTTTGCAGTACGATATCGCTAAAGAATCCTGTGCTGCTGGTCCTGCAGGCCAACGCAAAGAAGCTGCCCAACAGTACATACCTGTACAGCTTTGACTACGAGGGTGAGCAGAATCGCTATGCCACAGGTGACAACGAGGCAAGCTTCGTGCCCTTTGATATGGGTGTTTCGCTTACGGACGACAACCTGTACCTGTTCCCGTGGCCGCGATTCCTATCGCTCAACTCGAATCGCGATCTCAAGGTGGCCCGGCGCATGGTGTCCCTGTGGACGTCTTTTGCAACAACAGGGGTTCCCCAAGCACCCGGTCTGCCCACCTGGCCGACGATGAGTGACGAAACTGGACCGTACATGAGGATCGGCCGCACCGTCAGTTTCGGCGACAATTACCTGGACGAATACCGTGTTGCCGTGGAGGAGGTGAAACAAGGTTACAGCCTGGTCAACGAGGACTACTACGATCTGGAATCGGCTCTGTTGGCGGCCAGCAAGCAGGGTCAGTGGACCGCCTCCAACGAGGGGGATGAAGAGGATGATGTCGAAGGCGAGAGGGCTGCCAATGAGGCTCGTGGCCAAAACTTGGTTTTCATTGCTAGGAAGTCCACGCGCACCCAGAAGCAATAAACCACACACCTTCCAGACCCAAATGTTCGCTTTTATTTATTTTGACGAAAAACTGTCCTAATATATTTTTTAATTGAACATACATTGTTTTTCTTTAAGCGATTTTATAGTTTAAAAAATTGGCAGTCAACCCTATATAAAGTTGCATGTGATACATATACACTCAGAGAAAAAACCGCTCTCAGATCGATTTATACTTAAATTCTCAAAACCGAGATCGGAATCTTCTCGGTTTGCGAACGGCTTTTGAGAATGTGTGCTGTCTATATGAAAATGAAGTATTTTCGGTCTCAGCATCAAATCGATCTCGATTTCGAAATAAATAGTTCTCCGTTTCAACTTCGAATCGATCTCGATTTCGAGATGAACACAGAGTCGCAGCTAACCGTAATAACCTCCCGATTTTTTAAAGAGAGGAGTTCGGGCTCACTCTCATTTTTTCTTGATTAAACCGAGACTGCTTTCGTCTCGAGTGAGGAGACAAAGTTCTCAATCTGAGAAGAACCGATCTAGGGTATTTTCGTTCTCAATTGTCCTGGGTGTACACATTGATTAGATATAGATAAACTTGATTGTAAAATTTAAATTTTTTGGGATAAAAATTGCTTAAGTTACTTAATATTACATTAATTAAAATGTTGCTACAATAATTTACGAAATTTGTATTGGTAAGGTATGGCTATCGAGAAAATGGTCAATTAATACTATTGTATAATAGTACTAGGTACTATTTTCTGACTTCTAACTGAGAAAAAGAGTTCAAGCGCGGCGCATTTGCTTTGATTTAAAAGCGTGCTCAAACAATAATTTAAAGAAGTGGCTTTCATCACGGCCCCATAAATCATTTTTTGGACTGCTCAGGAGCCAGGTGGACAAAAGTTGGGCTACGAGAAGAGTTCAAATTAGAATTAATTTAAAAACATAATACAATTTAAATTAAGTGTGACAACTCTTTTTTTCCTTGAATTCATTATTTTGTTAGCCTGAGATCAGAATTGGCAGACATTGATGCGCAAAAAATAATTGACTTGCTTTAATTGACTTAACGCCAATAAGTAACAGAGATGCTCATTCAACAAATTTTTTTTAAAGAAATCTTAAAAAACTAAAATAATACATAAAATAATAATTAAATAAATATACATGTGGGAATAGGTCTGGCATCCTTGTCAACCGAACCCACCACAGATGAACAGCACTACTAATTATCGGCGTGGTGAAAAAGGAAGTCTGGTACAACCACTTAGAACGAGAGAGACGAAGACGAAAGACGTGAATTTTAAACGACGGGAGTAATAATCAAAAACGCTGTTAAAATCCCTATTAAATACCCAAAACTATAATCAGAATTACTTATCACTATTTCATTTAAATAAAACTATAAACCTATTATAATAAAATTACAACTAGTGGGACTTTTCATTTAAACCAGAAAAACCAATCCCACATACATATGTTAAAGGTGTATAAAAATTCTTATTCAAAGCTATAATATTCCTTGTATAGTGGGGTTTCCCCAAGTTTGTCTATAGTTAAATACATAAATAATAAAATTATCTCGTGCGATTAGTGAGAAGTTGTTGATCTTTTTTGGCACCGAAGCGTCACGAATGCTTTCTCCCGCAGCTAGCGATGATGATGATTAATATTATACCTTGTACTGTGAATACCAGTAGCGAGGAGAATTTTTGGCATCCATTAGGTAATTTAAAATTTAATTTAATTCCCGCATATGTTTAGAAATTAATTTTGTCTGGCTCTACCCGCACTTTCATCGTCGTGAGAAAGACAAACCAAGTTAATTGACGATGTATAATATTTGCAGGTAAGTATTCGCATCAATCTGAGCGACTAATGATTGAACTATCCGAAAAATCAGAAGTCAGGGCCAGTTTTCGCTTTTACTTACATATGATCAACAGAGCAGCCAAGCAGCTAAAACCAGAGCAGCGAAATCTGTTCTTGCACAAAAAGAAAATATTATAAACAATTTTTTGAACACTTTTTCAGCAAACATGTTAACTTTTTTAAAAGAAACTTTAAATACCTAAAACAAATACCTTTATTTCCAATATAAGTATATATATATATATATATATATACATAACATGATTTTATTATATTATATAATTATATGGGTGACTTAATAAAATTACATTGTTTTAAAATATTCTGAAATTCTCGTAATTGTTTGAAATAAATGTAACTAGTTGATCAAAATGTAACTATTTTGTTGCGTGTATCCATTAGCATAAGCTCGAGCCTCGGGGACGCCGAATCATTTGCAGTTTTGTTTTAGCCAGTTTCCCTTTGCGAACTCTTAATTTAGCTTTTTCGGTCAGACATGGGGTGAAACTTCGGGTCAGAGCCGACTAAAAGCTAATGGTCCCGGCTAGTCACTGATCAGTTGCGTTCGGCGCGTTAAAGAGAGTGTTGGTTTCTGTGGTATCCTCCGAAAATGCAGCTCGCGTGCTGGCTAACAGTTTTCCTGGTACTTGTCCTCCAACCCGGTGTGGAGTCTAGAGTTCGTGGCAGGCAATATGATGAGGAGAAAGACACAATTGTCGAACTGCCCCAATTAGGCAGCATCCAGGGTAAAATTCTCGAAACAGCATGGACAAAACGTGAGGTGCTGCAGTTTGTAGATGTCAGATACGCAGAACCTCCAACAGGACTGAATCGGTTTAAGGTATATAAGTTCTTAAGACCTGAACTAACACTTAAAGATATAATTTAAAAAATGAAACATTGTTTAAACAGAAGCTGTAAAGTGTGTCAACAGAACAAAATGACTAAGCTATATGTTTTATGCAAAAAAATTAAAATCGTCATTATGCAAAAGAAGGTTAACGCAGAAGAGATTCGCGAAGAATTCCAAATAGAAATGTTTCATTTTATTGAACGTCTGGTTTCTCCAGTTTATAGACTTTCAAAATTATGTAAATGTCATTGGTGGCAATAAATTAGCAAACTGAAACAGATTCTTAAATGAAAAAAAAACATTCGGTATCTACCCTGCGGGGAGTAGAACCTCGGAAAATCAAAGGTTACATTTAGACTATTTTGACGAAATCTAAGCGTCACGCCGTTAAAGTGTTTCGATATACACATTATGCTGTAAAAACGTGAACCATTATTATTTTTACCATTATTCGTATATAGTTAACATTCCTAAAAAGAACTGTGATAAAAATGGAAATATATATCACCCGAAACGTCTGTCTGTCATACGGCACATTGTGATGAGAGCCACGCCCACAAACGCCCATGGCACTAGATTATGTCTGGCGTCCACATGTTTACATATTTTGTAAAAGCATAAATCGGTTTTGTTTATCAGTTCCCATGTAAGTACCAACAATTTTTTAATAGGACCAAATGTTAAAAAGATATGAGAAATTTATGTGTAATCTCGGAAACAGTCGGTTTGCTGCTAGCATATCTCTGACTCCATCGCACTGTCTTTAGCAGTACAGTGTTCAACAAGACAGAACGCTATGTTCGAGATCTCATCTGAGTTGAAAATGTTCTTAAAAGTAGAACGAGATGTTTGAAGTTGAAAATATTTTCATTTTGCTCGAATCAATTTGAATTGGCGGTATTTTCATTGTATATCTCGACAAATTAATTATTAGTCCAGTCAGTATACTTATTAAAAATTTGATTAATGAACTCAATTTGACATTTCTCTTCTCACCATTTCCTTCTTATTTTAATAATTTTAATACCAAAATGTTTTTAAGAACAAATGTTCTCAATTCAAGAACAATGCACTTGAATATTTCTCTCGGTGTACGGACGGACGGACACACGGACATGGCTAGATCGACTAGGCTAGTGATGCTGATCAAGAATATATATGCAATATATAGGGTCGGAAACGCTTACTTTCCAACGAATCTAATATTCCCTTTTACTCTACGTGTAACGGGTATAAATACCTTCGAGTAGAGGCGACGAATCATCGTTATTTACATGTTTATCTACTTTACATTTTTACGTTACACATTTCACTCTAATCTACTTTCTTTTATACTTAAAATATTCACTTTTATTTACTTTCTGTGACGTTTTTGAAGATCTTCTTGATAGATACCGGCATAAGGTTATTAGTTATAGACTAACTAGAATGGCCCAATTCTTACAATTTTAGGCGTGCCGGTAGGCATTGACAAGCGGAATAAAATACAATTTTTTATTTTTTTTTCTGAAGCCATCTTGCGTGTTGCAAGAATCTGTAGAATCTGCATGTTTACTTTGTCGCTTTAAAGTTTCCGAGATCTTAGCGTTTACACAAGCATACGGACATGCCTAGGTCGCCTCGACTAGTGATCTTAATCAAGAATATATACACACAAAAAAACAGAAATTTAAGATTTAATACCCATTGTATTAAAAGCTAACCAGTGGGAGTATTGAAACTAAAGTATAATTTCAATGCTTAATAATATAAAGACTATACTACTACTATATACAGTTTCCGGTGTATACTTTATAGGGTCGGAAAATGTTCCTTCTGTTACATACTTTCTGTACTATGTTTCCGAATTCACGTTTGACCGTCTATGACACAAGTTCTCAACAAGGGAGAACGCTATAGTCGAGTACCTCGACTTTCAGATACCCGTTCCTCAGCTAAAGGAACCATAGGGAAATGGAGATAGGAAAGCAGTAAAGCGAGATTGACATGCGCCACCTACCCGCGATCTCAATATAGGGTTATGTGGGCGGTAGACAGATTTAGGCGTTATGGGCGTTAGAGTCAATCGATAGGTATTGACGAGACTAATATATTTCACCACAGATTTGGGCGGTTTGTGGGCGTGGCATCTTTGCGTAACAAACTTAAGAAGCTCAGGAATCTGCAAGTCAAATCACAATAGCCCAGCTCTTATATTTTCCGAGATCTCAGCGTTCATCCGGACGGACAGACAGACGGACAGACGGTCAGACGGACAGACGGACATGGCTTGATCGACTCGGCTAGTGATCCTGATCAAGAATATATATACTTTATGGGGTTGGAAACGCTTCCTTCTGCCTGTTACATACTTTCCGACGAATCTAGTTTACCCTTTTACTCTACGAGTAACGGGTATAAAAAGTACAACTATTCGGTTAAAATGTACTTCTGCCTCATTATTGCTGTATGCCTGTGTTAGTATGTGTTGTAACCCAAAAAACGATTCTTTTAACTTATAATAGTTCTTATGTGATTTGTATTTTTTTTTTTTCATAGGCTCCTCGGCCCATTGAGCCTTGGGAGGACGTGATGGATGCCACAGCGGAGAAGATTGGCTGCCCCTCGGTAGTGTCGATGGACTCACTTCGGAAGCTGGATGACGTTTTGGACGTAGAGGACTGTCTGACCATGACCATCACCACTCCAAACGTGACTGCACGGCTCCCGGTTCTCGTTTACATCCACGGCGAGTATTTGTACGAGGGCAGCAACTCGGAGGCGCCGCCGGACTATCTGCTCGAGAAGGATGTGGTTTTGGTCACCCCACAGTACCGGCTTGGACCATTTGGCTTTCTGTCTACAAAGACGGACGAGATTCCCGGAAATGCCGGCTTTCTGGACATATTCCTCGCCCTGCAGTTCATCAAGCACTTCATCAAGCATTTTGGAGGTGACCCATCGCGGGTTACGGTAGCTGGACAAGTGGGCGGAGCAGCTATTGCCCACCTGCTCACGCTGTCTCCGATGGTGCAGCGCGGCCTCTTCAGTAAAGTAATATACCACTCGGGATCGGCCTTAATGCCAATCTTTCTGGAGGAGGATCCGCGCAAGCATGCCCAGGAGATCGCCAAGAAGGCCGACTGTCAGATGGTGACGGTGCGGGACCTAAACACCTGTCTTATGGAGCTAACGGCGCTCGAGCTGCTTACTGCCTTCATGGAGCACGCAGTAAGTAGTCGGTAACTGAAACACTAAATAACCAAATATATATTATACATAATATATTATATGTTTAAAGGTTTTGCGGGAGTTTGTTAACGTTCCTCGTAGCTTTACGAAATTCCTAATGCCAACGCTCAGTTTAGTTGAACATTTTTCATTAATCTTTAAAAGAAAGCTTTGAAAATATAAGAGGAAAACAACGTGTTTACCGTCATTCCACCCTTACAGCTGGAGAAATCTGACCTCGGCATTGGTTATACAGGCGGCATACAGTTCACCATCGGTGGACCCAGTGGAGTGCTGCCCAAGCATCCTTACGATCTTATGTTGGAGTCGAACTTCTCTTACCCAGCAATGGGGGGCTGTCCGAAGAACGCCGGATCTCGAGTGCTCAATGAGATTGTGGACAATGACTTTGAGGGGAAGATTCCCGACGACGATTACAACACGTACAACTACATTGACCACGTGATTCGCCAGGTGGTAGGAACCGACAAAACGATGCTCCTCACCAGCTTCGTCACCCACGATTTCTTTAACCGTCAACTGCTGGAAAACGGGACCTTCGACACACTTATCCCTAGGCTAATCGATGTGAGTAGATTTTCTGAACCCCGAAATAGTTGTATTTAATTTTTTAGAAGCGCTCCCTTAGCCTAACCTAAGACAAATTACTCAACAGTTTAGCTTGCGGGCGTTAGGTAAGGTTGAAACAATCTTGCGCTGCTTCAGAAGCCTTAGAATCTATATGCTTAATCCCAAAAATATAGTGTTTACAATCATATTGCAAATGAAAATTTTTTTTTGAAAAACATTACTTTTGTAGGATAAGGACGAGACATATTAAACAACTATAACCCGGGTATCTTTTAGGTGGCTGGCACTCTTAACCACAAACTGCCCGTTCTGATGGCCCTAAACATGAACAACAAACACAACCCGCACAACACCTTCCTCTACTCTTTCGACTATGCGGGTGAGTTTAACCGCTACAAGGAAATGGACGAGGAGACCAATATGCAGAGCCCCTTCAAGGCGGGGGTTTCGCTGACCGACGAGGCCCTCTACCTGTTCCCCTACCCCGAACACGTAACCCGCCTCAGTCCGCCGGACTTGACGATGGCCCACCGGATGGTGGAGCTCTGGACAAACTTCGTGATTAGTGGCAATCCTCTGGGATCCCACCGCGTCGGACTCTGGCCGCCGATGACTACGCTTTATGGCCCCTACATGAGGATCGACGAGACGTTGACTATCGGGGGTGACTACTTCAGCGAGTTCTCGGCCACCGCCAACGACGAGAAGCAAGGTCACAGTCTGATCCGGGAGATATATTATTTGCGAAGCCGCAGCCGCAAACGGACCCAAAGTAAGCGCCGGAAACAACTGGCCTCCTCCAATGCCAGCAGGTCCAAGAAGCTCGCCGGACGCAAGAGGTTGGTGAAGCGGCCAAGTCGCAACAAGATACGTTTTTGAGCGCTAGTAGGTATAGGAATTTATAAAACTTAAAGTTACGATTACACAGGTTATTAAAAAATTATTTATTCAAAAACTTAGGCCTTTAAAAAATGGGACTTGAAATTGTACTATCTAAAACACGTATCCAAGCCATACCTTTCATTCCTTAAAAATACGCCAGATATAACGCTGCCAATTTTGAAATATGATTTGTAAATATTTTAAAATATAAAGATAATGATATCAGATGGTATCATCTACTGCTGTCTGGGCAGAATCTTCACGTGATGAGGACCGATGATAAGGCTTCTCAGTTGCGAAAATTGACGCAGGGACTTACTTTCCCTCTCTGCCTGGATGCGGTCCTCCTGCTCCTGTTGGGCCCTGTTACGTTCGTCCTCCAACCTCTCAGTTTCCTCCTGTTTCTCACGAAGCTTGGTCGCTGCTTCCACGTAAGCCTCATAGCTGGGGAAGTCCTCGACCTTGAGTTCTTCCTGTTCAGCTCCTTCCTGGGAGTGTTCGTACTCCTCACCTTGATCCCCGCCAGGCTGTTGTTCTCTTTCCTGTTCCACTTGGTCGTTTCGCTGTTGCTCGCGTTCCTGCTCCTCTACATAGTTTCGATCGGGCTCATATGTGTCATAGGTTGGATAGGCCTGGCGTTCATCTGGCAGACTTTCTTCCGGCCGATCTTGCCTCTCTTGATGCAATTGCTCTTGCTGCTGTCGTTCGCGCTCCTGCTCCTCGGCATAGTATCGTTCCGCATTTTTTGCTTCCTGGGCCTTAATATATTCATCGTAGCTTGGGTAGTCTTCAGGTTTGTCTCCCGGCTGATACTCCCGAGTCCGTTCTTGCTGCTCGCGTTCTTGCTGCAACCGATACTCCCGCTCTTGCTGTTCCTGCTGCTCTCGACGCAGCTGCTCTTGCTGTTGTTGCTCGCGGTCTTCTTCCTCCTTGTAGTTGGGGCTGGAATCTGACTCAGGTGGGTTTTCATTCTCTTCTTGGCCAAACTGTTCGTACGAGGGATATGGTAGGCGATCACCTTCCGAACTACCTTCTGGCTGTTGCTCTCGATCCTGTTGCTCGCGTTCTTGTTGCTCGCGTGCTTGTTGCTCGCGTGCTTGTTGCTCGCGTGCTTGTTGCTCGCGATCTCTCTCTTCCTGGTCTCGTACTTCCTGCTCTCGTTGTTGTTCTCGTTCTTGCTCTTCTCGCTGTTGCTGCTCATTGCCATAATTGGGATAGCCCCAACGGTTATCGTCATCTACTGGTGGAGTATCATCGGGCTGTTGATCTCGTTCTCGTTCTCGCTGCTCTCGTTCATGCTGCTCTTGTGCTCGCTGTTCTTGTTCTCGCTGCTCTCTTTCTCGCTGTTCTCCTTCTCGCTGCTCACGTTCCTTCTGCTGACGGACTCGCTCTTCCTGCTCTCGCTGCTGACGCACTCGCTCTTGTTGCTCTCTCTGCTGACGTTCTCGCTCTTGTTGCTGATGCCGTTGCTCTTCTTGCTCCTGGCGGGAATCCGGCTGAGGGCGACGCTGCTGCTGCTCTCGCCAACGCTGCTCTCTTTCGCGAATAAATTGTTGCTGACGGGCTTCTTGAGCTCTGACGTATTCCGGATCGGCAGGATGCCAAGTGTGTTGTTGCTGGGTTGGCCTGTTTTGCCAGTTGGCATATGGATTGATCGCGTACGGGCGGCTTGTAGTTGTTGTTGTTGTCGTTGTAGTTGTGGTGGTTGGAGCAGAAGAGTTGACAGCTGGCTTAAGTCTCAGCATGCTATAACCGGGCAAGTTAATGCCCTCGCCAAAGTGTTCATCGACTTCGAGAGGGTTTTGGCGAGAGTTTGTGATACGCAGGACGGGACCATACTCAGTGGTAGCCTGCGGCCATACACCGGGACTTGGATTGGGTACGCCAGTAGCAGCAAAATTTACCCACATGGTGACCAAGGCGCGGGATAGCGACCTGTCCAAGGGATTGAGGTTACTGGCCTCTTGCGGATAGGGAAATAAGTACACGCTGTCATCGCTGAGGGAAGCATCCACTGCGAAGGGGAGAGGGTTGGACAAGTGCCCGAACCGGTGGTACTCTCCGCGATAACCAAAAATGTACAGGTAGGCGGGGGTCCAGCGGTGACGGATGGTGTTGATCACGGGTGCACGGTAAAGGATGTAGTTGCTCAGCTCCAGAAGACCATTGGCTACTGTTCTTAGGCTAGCCGTGAATTCCTGCTCCGGACTGAAGATCTCGCGAAGTGCCCACTGCTTCCATTTGGCGTGATCTCTGGAAGGTGCTGTGTGGCGTAGCACCACGTCGATATATTCACTCACATTGCGCGACTGCAGACGTGCGATCTGATCGTAGATGCCTAATATAAAAAAATTGTACCAATAGTTTTTAATTATAATCAAACGCAATCATTCAATCTCAATTATATTTAAATCGGACGACTTTGTTATATAGCTGACCCCGCACCAGGGTTTTGTAGAAGGAGGCTACGATCGCACCTTCAACTTACAAAAGTTCTGATATCAAATTTTGTTATGAAAAATGATTTTAAAATCGACTGAATAAATGACAAAAAGTGATACATACTATATATATTTTTTTTGCTAAAATTTTAAATATATTGTATTTAGAGGTTTGAAGAGAAGGCAGCCTGATTAGCATATTAAAGGGTTTTATATAGACCTACACAAAAATGGACAAACATTTTCATTTTGGAAAGTCCTCCAAAATCTTGTTTTTGCATTAACTGTGGAGCGGAGCATTGGATTTTTAACAAATGTTATGTCATTTGACGCGTATTTTAAGTAAGAATAAAACTTGACTAATAAACTGGGGCATTTATCTCCACTGGCCCCAACAGCTCCAATTACACTACTTATACAGCTATTTCTCCAAAACCTATTAAAATTATTTGAGGGTTGGTAAGCAATCTTACCTACTCGTAGAGTAAAACGGTATACTAGATTCGACGAAAGGTATGTAACAGGTAGAAGGAAGCGTTTCCGACCCCATAAGTATATATATTCTTGATCAAGATCACTAGCCGAGTAGATCTAGCGATGTCCATCTGTCCGTATGAACTCTATGATCTTGGATTCCTGGGCAGCGCAAGTTTGTTTCGTCACGTTGCCGCGCCCACTCTAACACCCAGAAACCTTCCAAACCGCCCAAAACTATCGCTCCTACAGAATTAATGCTAGAATACAAATTTTAACAGCAATGTTTCCACGCCCACTCTAACGCCCACCAGCCGCCCACAATTTAAAACAAGGAAGAACGCTATAGTCGAGTACCTCGAATATCAGATACCCGTTACTCAGCTAATGGGACCAAAGGGAAATGAAGATATGAAAGCAGCAAAGCGAGATTGAAATGCGCCACCTACCGGCGGTAGACAGATTGAAGCGTTATGGGCGTTAGAGTCGATAGGTATTGACGAGAACAATACATTTCAGTTAAAATTTTTACTCTATCATCAATACTGTAGGAGCCACAGTTTTGGGTGGTTTGTGGACGTTAGTGTGGGCGTGGCACTCTGCTGAAACAAACTTGCGCTGCGCAGGAATCTCAGGAATCTGCATGCCTAATTCCAGTATTGTAGCTTTTATAGTTTCCGAGATCTCAGCGTTCATACGGACAGACAGACGGACAGACGGACGGATAGACGGACAGACGGAAATGGCTAGATCGACTCGGCTAGTGATCCTGATCAAGAATATATATACTTTATGGGGTCGGAAACGCTTCCTTCTGCCTGTTACATACTTTCCGACGAATATAGTATACCCTTTTACTCTACGAGTAACGGGTATAAAAATTGCCGATGTGAACGCTAATATTTCGGAAACTTTTAAAGCTAGAGAGTTGGGACTTCAGATTTAGATTCTTAGCTGCGTACTCTAACGCCCACAAACCGCCCAAAAAAGTGGCGCCCACAGTTTTGATGCTAGAAATAATTTTGAGCTGAAAATGTTAACTTGTCTTATATTAATTTTTAATGTGAGTAACGGAAATCTTTTTTATCAAGCGCTCTCTCTTGTTCATCTTTTCAATACCTTTCTATTTGTGTATGACTCGTTATGATCGGACCGTCGTTGCAGATTTATAGTTCTGCGGTTCGCACACGCACCTGGTGCGAGTTTGTACTACAAAATCATTTCAATTAAATTGATCACGACTGCTTACTAATACCAATACTAATACCAATTTGGGAAAGCGACTTCAGCTAAAAGAGTATCTCCAAACGCAGTATTACAAAGACCCACTGGGACGGTGAATATTTCTGACACTTTTTTTCGGCGTGAAGGAAAAGTCACAAAAACAGTAAAAACAAGGAAGAACGCTTTAATCGAGTACCTCGACTATCAGATACCCGTTACTCAGCTAAAGGGACCAAAGGGAAATGGAGATATGCAAGCAGCAAAGCGAGATTAAAATACGCCACCTACCGGCGGTAGACAGATTTAAGAGTGGGCGTGGCAAATTTTTTTTGAAACAATCGATAGGTATTGACGAGACCAATACATTTCAGTTAAAATTTTGTATCTAGCTTGTGGGCGTTAGAGTGGGCGTGGCAAACTTTTTTTTGGGTCAATCGATAGGTATTGATGAGAACAATACACTTCAGTTAAAGTCTTTATTCTAGCATCAATACTGTAGGAGCCACAGTCTTGGGCAGTTTGTGGGCGTAAGAGTGGGCGTGGCACATTGCTGAAACAAGCTTGCGCTGCGTAAGAAGCTCAGAAATCTGCACGCCAAATCTCAATAGCCCAGCTCCCATAGTTTCCGAGATCTCAGCGTTCATCCGGACAGACGGACATGGCTAGATCGACTCGGCTAGTAATCCTGATCAAGAAAGTATGTCAGGTAGAAGGAAGAGTTTCCGACCCCATAAAGTATATATATTCTTGATCAGGATTACTGGCCGTGTCGATCTAGCCATGCCTATCTGTCCGTATGAACGCTGTGATCTCAGAAACTAAAAAGGCCGCAATACTGGGATTAGGCATGCAGATTCTAGGGATTTCTGCGCAGTGCAAGTTTGATTCAGCCGGGCACCACGCCCTGTTAATGTATGTTAATGTTTTCGAAAAATGGAAATGATATTATATTTTGATTTTCAATGTCCAACTACATGCCAAAATTTGTTCAATTTGGACCAATTATAAGCAAATAAACTGTGCAATCTTTGGAACAGAAACTTTGCTACTTGTATATCTCCATCTCCCTCGCACTCCCCGAGTGCTCCCAGTTCACTTAGCTGAGTAACGGGTATCGATGGCGTCGACTATAGAGTTCTTTCTTGTTTTTTTTTGAAATACCAAGCTTAATAGAGATTAAAAACCATTTCAAAATACGAAATCATTTCCTGCCAGTCGACGAAAGTAGCAATTAAATCGGTTACTCTTGAAACCAATTCAGATTAAATGTTTTCAACATAAAAGTATGAAATTTACTTATAGACGGTTCTAATTGCATCGAACCTAATCAGTCTGACCCCGAGAGCACAGTCTTATCACCAACTGCTTCTAATATGTCCCATCCGAACCAGATTAGTTCATGAATGGCAACATTGATGTCGAATTTCGGATTGAAGTATGTATATGTTCAACTGTAATTTTTTATAGTCGTGGATGAAAAATTGTAGGCTTTTAGAAAATAATGTTTCAGAAACCGTTAGGTATTTTCCATTTCCAAACAAATAAGTAATAATAAATGTTAAATGAAGCGTCACTGACCCAATAATGTATATATATTATTGATCAGCATCACTAGCAGAATCTCGAACATGCCATTTAATTAAAATGTATTGATCTCGTCAATATCTATCGATTGACTAGAAAAAAATGTTAGCTGTATTGAATTCGTGTCGTCAATACCTATCGATTGATTTAAGAAAAGTTGTGCCGTCTGCCGACCACATACCCATATATTTAAATCGGTAGTAGGTGGCGCTTTAGTCGATCTAGCCACGTCCGCCTAACGTTCCGTCTGTTCGTCTGTCCGTTTCTACGCGAATTAGTCTCTCAGTTTTTAGACCATCGCAATGAAACCTTTCCAAGAGTCTTATTTCTATAGCAGGAGGTACAAAAAAAATTCAAAAAATTGGTCGACTTGTTCAATTAAATAAGAATCGGACAATATATCATATAGCTGCCATCGGAAGGAACGGTAAAATACTGTCGAAATAATACAAAGATTGTTATATTTAGCTTTCGGTAAACATTTACGGTAGTAAAATAAAATGTCTTAATATTTCTGTAAGTATTTTTAAGTTTTCAAAATATCGGAAAGCTCTGTATATCGCTCGAATGGGAACGGCCTGCAAGGGTATAAAAACTTCGGCTTGTCGACGCCAACTTCCTTTCTTGTTTATACCCTTGCAGAGGGTATAATGATTTTAGTCAGAAGTTTGCAACGCAGTGAAAGAGACGTTTCCGACCCCGTAAAGTATATACATATATTCTTGATCAGCATGATTAGACGAGTCGATCTAGCCATGTCCGTCTGTCCGTCCTTTTCTACGCAAACTAGTCTCTCAGTTTTAAAGCTATCGGGCGGAAACTTTCCCAAAAGTCTTATATCTTTTGCAGGTAGTATATAAGTCGGAACCAGTCGGATCGGACAACTATATCTTATAGCTCCCATAGAAATAATCGGGAAAAAAATTTAAAAAAATTATATCTTTGATGTTTTTTAACATATAACCTCCTAAGCTTGGAAATATTATTTTTTTAAATTGTTTGAGTTTCGAATGAAATTTTATCAAAATCGGACGACTATATCATATAGCTGCCATAGGAATGATCGGAAAATTGGTGGGAAACAAATTATTGCTTCGGTGTTTTCTGAAATATTATCTTATACTATTGGGAATATCATTTTTTGTATTTTTAAATGTAATAATTATAACTGCAAGGGTATACAAGCTTCGGCTTGGCGAAGTTAACTTTCTTTCTTGTTTTAAGTAAGTTTCTGATATCAAGTTATTTAAAGTTACACAGTACAATTTTGAAAATATGTAAATAGCTTGGTTGGCTTAAAAAAACCGCAGTATCTGTCTTAAAAAATGAAAAATAAAAAATTTAATTAAATATTTACTAGTTTAATTTCTTGGATGGATTTTTTAGAGGAATACTTTAGTACAAGCACACGCTGTCACGGACAGAAACGGCAAAAGAGGTGCGTTGTGGAACCCCGTAAACATAATATTGAATGTTGTTTGCTGAGTATTATTAACATAAGGAACTCCGAGATTAAGTCCTCCATTAAATAATTTTTCTCAATGAGCATTGCCGATTCAAACATCAGTACTCACGTGACAAGATGAAGGAGCTGGCGTCTTTGGTGGCGCCAACAATCGTGGGCAGCGAAACACTACCGTTCGTGACCAGGGCGGCTGGGTGGCTGTGCAGGTAGCCCAGGGAGTCGCCGACCACCAGTTTGAAGCCCCCCAGGTGGGCGAGGCCGAGCGGCTCGTTTTGCACCAGCAGTTGCTCGAAGGCGGCCACCAACTGGGAGGTAGGCAGTCGGCTGAGGCAGTCGTAAATGGGTGCGAGTCCCCGTGAAGTAGGGTGGGAGGGTGGACAGCGGGCGAGACGTGCGAAAGTGTTCAGGGTCTCAAGTGGTTCCTCGTCAATCAGATAGGGATTCAAGGCGGTACCCGACTGCAGGATCAGCTGCTGGAACAGGTTGTTGGCCCGGCCGCTTAGGCTCAAAGCGTGGGCCAACGTGGCACCACCTGCCTGACCCACCAGAGTCACCTTTTCGGGATTGCCACCAAAGTAGACCAGATTGCGCTGCAGCCATTCCAGGGCCAAGTGCAGATCCGAAAGGGCCACGTTTCCGGGAAGCTCGTCGCTAAGCGCGCTCAGGAAGCCAAAGGGAGCCAGCCGATAGTTGATGGAGACCAACAGCACATCCTTCTCCAGAACATAGTCCGGTTGGGCCTCCTCAGAGCCACCGTCAAACAGCATTTCACCGTGAACAAAGACCAACACGGGCAGCTGACTGGCGCCATCCGGTGCGTAGATGTCCAAAGTGAGGCAGTCGTCGACGTTTTCTCCCTGGGACTCGGACTTTCTCAGACGGTCTAGCTCCGGAAACTGGGCGCAGTTGGTGCTCTTTTCGGTGGCACTAACCCTTCCCTGGAATCCTGTTGGTTGGGCAGCCTGGAAGCGTGCCAAGCCGCCTCCAACTTTGCCGTACCGCAGACCGCGAAAAGCATTCACCGGACGATTGGCAATGGTCTTGAAGTTTTTAATTCCCGAAATCTGTCCGACTTCGGGAACTTGAACAATGGCTTCCTGGGTCTGGACATATTGGGGTTCCGACTGCCAGGGGGCTGGCTTCAGCGGCTCGGGCTGCCATGAGGTCTGGATCCTGGTATCCTCGTCGTAGTCGTCATTATAGTCGGCTGGAGAGCCCTCGGAGCGGGCACAAACTTGGGCCACACAAAGGGCCAGCACTAGGAGCAACGGCTGCATGTTGCTCGTTGCGTCGCGTTTAAACGAGAACTGATTTCCGAAACGAATTCGACGGCCTGAAAAGCTCCGGGCACTATCTGCAACTAAAGCCTTGAGTAGCCGATCCGCGGGGTTAGCTTGTTACTACATTCAAACTAAAAAAAAATTAAACTCTGAAGAAATGTTACACATTTTTTTCCACGCAAAGTCCTATATTAAGAACGTTTAAAAGTTTGCATTAAAAAATTTAAATATTACCAAATAATATTAAAATAAACAAGACAGAATAAAAAAGCTTTAACTATTTTAATCAAAGCAGTGACAGAAGGATTCCAAAATACAAAACTTTAAGAGAGATCTTATTTAAGAAAGGAGAAAAATTGTTGGGCCTATTTTAATAATAATCGATTTCATTTTGTTTCTTTGGTTTTAGGTCCACCTTTGATGCTAAGCTCGACCGCTCTTACTCTTCTCCCAATGTCGTATTCGGAGTTTTTTGGGGCTTCTGGATTGGAATTCCTGATTGGAACTACTGAGAATGTTTGTATGCTATAGTTAACTTTAAACGCTTACAAATAATACCAAGCGAACATTTTTTCGGGTCCGCGCCTGTTTCTTCGTTTTATAGATTGTTCGGTTCAACAGACCTTATCTCATCCGCTCGCCTCGGACCGATAGGGGCAAGTCTGGTGGCCCAGCTTCTTTTATTGTTGAAGCGTGTTTCGCCATCTTAAAGTAAGCACAGCCTACATACATATGTACAAACATTTGTGTAATCATGTCCGTGGAACAGCTTGGGAATTAACAAAACAAAATAATCAATTATAGGCAGGCTTTTTTATACTTTGTCGTTTATTATACCCGTTACTCGTAGAGTAAAAGGGTATACTAGATTCGTCGGAAAGTATGTAACAGGCAGAAGGAAGCGTTTCCGACCCCATAAAGTATATATATTCTTGATCAGGATCACTAGCCGAGTCGATCTAGCCATGTCCGTCTGTCCGTCTGTCCGTCTGTCCGTCTGTCCGTCTGTCCGTATGAACGCTGAGATCTCGGAAACTATGAGAGTTACAATACTGGGATTAGGCACGCAGATTCCTGAGATTCCTGCGCAGCGCAAGTTTGTTTCAGTAGAGTGCCACGCCCACTCTAACGCCCACAAACCGCCCAAAACTGTGGCTCATACAGTTTTGATGCTAGATAGAAAATTTTAACTGAAATGTATTGTTCTCATCAATACCTATCGATTGACCCAAAAAAAAGTTTGCCACGCCCACTTTAACGCCCACAAACCGCGAAAACCTGTGTCGCCCACAATTTTCATGCTAGATAAAAAATTTTAACTGAAATGTATTGTTCTCATCAATACCTATCGATTGGTCCAAAAAAAAGTTTTCCAGGCCCACTTTACCGCCCACAAACCGCGAAAACCTGTGACGCCCACAATTTTCATGCTAGATAAACAAATTTAACTGAAATGTATTGGTCTTGTCAATACCTATCGATTGGTCCAAAAAAAAATTTGCCACGCCCACTCTAACGCCCATAACGCTTAAATCTGTATACCGCCGGTAGGTGGCGCATTTTAATCTCGCTTTGCTACTTGCATATCCCTATTTAGCTGAGTAACGGGTATCTGATAGTCGAGGTACTCGACTATAGCGTTCTTCCTTGTTTTTAATGAAGACATACTATAATTCTTATATAAGAGTTACTTAAATTTGAATTAAGTTGAGTTCAATTTTTAGCCAATAACGAGGCGGAATAAGAAATTTTATTTGTATTGTTTCAGCTTTCTGGTTGGTATAGCCGTCCAATTATTATAAAATCATAAAAGTTTTAATGAAATTTTAAGAAAATATAGAACTAAGTTTACAAGCTACTAAATCTTACTATTTTGGTATTAATTTTCTGATCGTTCTAATAGCAGCTTTTTTGATATTGTCGTCGGATTTCAATAAAACTAAGTAGTAATTATACCCGTTACTCGTAGAGTAAAAGGGTATACTAGATTCGTCGGAAAGTATGTAACAGGCAGATGGAAGCGTTTTCCACCCCATAAAGTATATATATTCTTGATCAGGATCACTAGCCGAGTCGATCTAGCCATGTCCGTCTGTCCGTCTGTCTGTCCGGATGAACGCTGAGATCTCGGAAACTATGAGAGCTAGGCTATTGAGATTTGGCGTACAGATTCCTGAGCTTCTTACGCAGCGCAAGTTTGTTTCAGTAGACTGCCACGCCCACACTAACGCCCACAAACCGCCCAAAACTGTAACTCCTACAGTTTTGATGCTAGATAGAAAATTTTAACTGAAATGTATTGTTCTCATCAATACCTATCGATTGACCCAAAAAAAAGTTTGCCACGCCCACTTAAACGCCCACAAACCGCGAAAACCTGTGACGCCCACAATTTGCATGCTAGATAAAAAATTTTAACCGAAATGTATTGGTGTCGTCAATACCTATCGATTGATCCAAAAACAAATTTGCCACGCCCACTCTAACGCCCATGACGCTTAAATCTGTCTACCGCCGGTAGGTGGCGCATTTTAATCTCGCTTTGCTGCTTGCATATCTCCATTTCCCTTTGAGTAACGGGTATCTGATAGTCGAGGTACTCGACTTTAGCGTTCTTCCTTGTTTTAATATCCTAATGTTATCTTTTTTAGGTCTATATGATGTATTTTTTCGACCCGAACCGATAAATTCTCGAGTAAAGGAACTATACTGGACGGAGCATATCACACACCGCAGACGCAAAGCGTCCTTAGTACAATTCGCATGCCAAAAAGCAAAAGGGAGAAGATGCACAGAGAAAAAATCTGAGATTGAGCTCACGACCGCAAGCTTTTAGGGCAGACACACTAACCGATAGGCCAGCTAACCTTTTGGTAAGAAAGTGGCAAAAGTGGCCACATGAAGTACATTAGAGAGGTTACGAAAATACAAATATTTGCAGACTGTCGTCCAACCTCTTTAAGAGCAAATCGATCTTAAATTAAGAATTTTGTTTTTAAATTTGGAAGGGTTTTTTTTCCCTCAGTGTGGTCTTCTCCCGCTAATAGCTGACTTGCTCTACACTGCAATGGTCACCCCCATTCTTCTATAAAGGTCCATCGTTTGGTGGCACTCCTTTAAAAAGGTGTGGAATCTAACGGATCTACACAAGATACAGCTTAGAACGAAAAATTTGAGAACGAACGTTCTTAAAAATGTTCCGAGTCGTACTTGAAATTTTTAATACGAACGTTCTTGGAACAAGAGTTATTCGTACTTAACTTTAAAGCGCAACACAAAAGCATGCACCACAAAAACATTTTTCCATGGTGGTTCGGCTGTAAAAGCCGTCGGGACTATGACATTTTGTAAAGAAAGGACCTGAGTCCGAATCATCACCGGGGCTGTTCCTGACTTTAATTTATTGATATCTCGGAAACTATCCACGATAAAGAATCTCAGATTTAGATTCCGTAGCCTTGTACGCAGCGCAAGTTTGTTATGTCACGCCCACAAACAGCCTAAACCTGTGACGCCCACAATTTTCATGCTAGATAAAAAATTTTAACTGAAACGTATTGGTCTCGTCAATACCTATCGATTGATCAAAAAAAAAAATTGCCACGCCCACTCTAACGCTCATAACGCTTAAATCTGTCTACCACCGGTAGGTGGCGCATTTCAATCTCGCTTTGCTGCTTGCATGTTTCCATTTCACTTTGGTCCCTTTAGCTGAGTAACGGGAATCTGATAGTCAAGGTACTCGACTATAGCGTTCTTCCTTGTTATACGCGTTACTCGTAGAGTAAAAGGGTATAGGGGCCGTCCATAAACCACGTGAACAAATTTTAAGCACTTTTTGCACCTCGACCCCTCCTCCCCCCCTCGTGGAAAATCGTGGACTTTTGACGAACCCCCCCCTCCCCCCAAAACTGTCCACGTGGTTAATGGTCTTAGTCTCGTCAATACCTACCGATTGACCCCAAAAAAAGTTTGCCACGCCCACTCTAACGCCCATAACGCCTAAATCAGTCTACCGCGCACATAACCATATATTGCGATCGCGGGCAGGTGGCGCATGTCAATCTCGCTTTACTGCTTGCATATTTCCATTTCCCTATGGAAAGGCTGGAAAAGGCGATAAGACGTTAAATCAAGCTAATAATTCCCAATAGCCTAGCTCTTAGAGTTTCCGAGATCTCAGCGTTCATCCGGACAGACGGACAGACGGACATGGCTAGTTTGACTCGGCTAGTGATCTTGATAAAGAATATATATACTTTATGGGGTCGGAAACTCGTCCTTCTGCCTGTTACATACTTTCCGACGAATGTAGTAACCCTTTTACTCTACGAGTAGCGGGTGTTAAAATCGGAAAGCTGTGTACATACAATGCTCCCACGGCAACGACCTGCAAGGATATAGAATCTTCGATTTGCCAAAGCCAGCTTTCTTTCTTATTTAAATGATTTTTATAAATACACAAATAACACTGAGTTAATCGGTAATAGAAAAAATTCTATCTTCATTCTTTTTGATTATATTCGCCTCCACTATGGGGTTTCTCATTTTATTGTGTTATATTGGTGACAATGGTAGATCCAGTAATGTAGTGGGGGGGTTTGTTAGATATAAAAAAAAATTTGTTGAGTATATTTCATTAAAATACATTTTACATATACCTAACCCGAGTGGGGGATTTGTTCTCCAAATACCCAAATCAAAATAATTGAGGTCTGATTAAAACGCATTGTAGAAGTTCATAATATAATATTTTTCTCTATATTTTCATTTTTAATTAATCATTTTCGATTCCATTCCCTCCGTTTTGGTTTTTCTTGTTAAAGTTTAATATTCAATTTCTTGTTTTGTTTCGGCTTGTTCGGTATGTATCTATAATAATGTGTTATAATTAAGAATCGTCATTTCATCTAAATATTTCAGTTATAATAATTCAATACAATAATCATTAATAATATGCGGTTTTCTTTAATCGATTTCTTTTTTTCGCCATGTTTGTTAAATTTGTGTGTGACTTGCTGCAGATTGTATTTCGATCCGTTTGTTTTGTATGGATTTAATTGAGTCTGGGACCGAATATTTGGGTCGTGGCAATTTTTATCAGCTTGAGTTTGATTATTTCGTGTCTGAGATCGGCAATCTCCTATGACTCGCAGCTTACTGTACGTTCAAGTATGGAAATCAGAGTTCTAGGAAAGCTAAAAGCAAGTTTATGCATATATACTTGTGTCTATATATGTATATACGTGTTTATATATAGTCTTTCTAGGTATTTTAATCTCGATTATGCTGTGGCAGTGGCCCAAAGTAAAAAAGCCTCTTAACTAAATCAAGGTTCAAACTTAAAAATAATGTGTCAAATTACGTATTTTGTTTAGCTGCTTCCCCTTAAATAATTAATCTTTGTGATGTGAGAAATAAATGCAGAAGTCCCTTTAGGTGCGCAATTAAACATAGCTTGATAGCACTGATTGTGTCACTGATTAATATTTGGGTTTTGCTGCGATTTGTGTTAGGAACTTCTTAGCAAATTTACGACTCATGAAAATCATACGAATGAAAATCCGTTTACCCAAAAATGCACAGTGATTAATTTGTCACTGAATCAAAGACATTCATTGATTTGTTTCTAGCTTTTGTTTTCCTTCGTTTCTTTTGTTTTTTGTATATTTTTTGTAGCTCAGTCTTTTTACTAACAATTTTCGGTTGTTCGTGTTGTTTTTTATTTTGCTTTTTCATGCTGTAGATCTTCGATTTTCAGTGCTGTTTTAATTTATGATACCGCTCATATTTCGCGTGAATAATAAAGAGTTTATTTATTAATTTTTGAATCGTTTGCTTTGAACCAAATCCAAAACTTAACGAACTCCGAATTGGAAGTTATGTAAAGGAGGTTTCTGTGGAGGAATGAGAAGATGAGGGAACCGTTTTGAACGAACCGTTACCGATCCGAATTGCTTGGGGAGATCTGGGTTCAATTTTTTGGGTGCCTATAAGCGGAATTAGGAAACTCAATTCATACAGTTTAGATTGCATTTTTGTTCTTTCATTTAAATGGCTTGCTGTTAGCTCTATAGTTGCTTGGAAGTACCGTTTTGTGTCTAACTTTCGTAACTTATTTGGTTAAATATTTGTTATTCGCTTTGGGCTTTTTATTAAGTTCGTTACTCATTACGATCTTGCGCTACATTTCAACAATTTAATTTATCCTTACGTATTTGTAACCGCTAAAGAATGGATAACATACTCGTGGCTCGTATGCTCAAACATCTCTTCAGAATTGTGTGTGGGTGAGATGCTTTTTTTTTGGGAAAAACCATGTGCCTTCGGTTCATTTTGTTTGAGTTAGGGATCTGAAATTGTTTTACTTGAATCAAGGAATATTTATTTGGTTGATGAAGTATTTACAAAGTTTTCGCATAATGGTATTCATATAGGTAATGCATACGATAGGCTTGTTGCGTTATAAAATCTTAACATAATTATATAAATTGAATTCATGAACTGGCTTAACTTTGTTTCACTTATGGCCTTCAAGTAAGTAAAATGCATCGATTACGTGTCAGTGTGTGTTTGTATTCATTCTATATGCATTGAGAGCTGGCTACTTAGAAATTATAAAACCAAACGGAGCCGGGTATCGTACAGAGTTAATACGCTTACTCTAAATCCGCTCAGTAATCTGATTTCCATTATCAGTAATAGTTCGCTTGATTTCACAAAACATAATAATACATTTCATATGTAATAATCAAGATGTTGGTAATTGTCTTAACCTAGTTAGTGGGTATTTATACTGTAATGCCTGCTCGTAATAATATCTATCATATAATCTTTTATGTTTTTGTTTCATATATAATTATATTTATTTTATGTAAGAAGCACTTGAATATATATCGTTTTTAATGAAAAATTAAAATTTGGGTGTGTCGCGTCTTGGATTGTTTTTATTTTGGTATTTGGGTTCTGGCTTTCTGTTCTAATTTTAAATGTTGGTTGTTCTTTATAGTTTAATAAGTTGCTAATTAGCAAATACGAATGCGCTCGCTACAATCTGTAGGTAATAATTGTTTTTGTCTTATTCGGAGAAAGTTAAAAATCGTTTTCATTTAGCTTATAATTATCTTTAAAGTATCATCAACGACGGCGCTTCGTCAATCCCAATTTCTGTTCTTTTAAAAAAGTGTCTGAGTTGACTTATCTCACAAAAGTTTGCCCTTTGCTGAAAGTTTTAAGAAATTTAAGATGATTTTTTTTTGCGTTAGACTCTGCTTTTTGTTAAGTGTTTTTAATAAAATACTTTTCTTAAATAAGTTATTTTTTGAGTTTATTACTTCACTTTTTGTTCATTTTTCTGTTTTTTATTTTAAATTTAAAAGCATTTCTAGAGAATCTCTCTTCTAAAGTATCTAGTAAGTGTATGTATATGGGTCATCTATATTTATGTATAAGTATATATTCATGGATTCTCTAATCTTCTTACTGTTGTTGCTGATTTATGTCTGTAGGCATGATTTACTGTAAAACCTTTCAGTTGCAACCTGGCTTCAAATTACATTTGCATGTTCAATTTTGCCTTGTATATTGAATAATCGGTTATCGGCTTTCAGTTTCCTTGTATATATGTAAATGGTAAAGTGTATAAAAGTTAATGATCTGGTTCAGTTAATACTTGTATGCCATTGTATAAGTAGATGATGTAGATCTAGAATTAGTTCAAAACTCTAGTGTATTCCTAAGTTTTATCCATCTGCAGCTACTTTATGTGTCTGAATCTTTGCATTTATTTTTTGCTTATACATTTTAAGTGTTTGTATTGCTTTCAAAGTACTCGACACGGTTATCTTAAAGAAGAAGATAAAAACAACAAATTTAAAAACTAAATAAGCAGAAACAGAAAATAAACTGCTACATACGTTGTAACGCAGTTCTATACGTTAGTTTAAAATATAAATATTTTCATATACGAATAATTAAAAATAAGGATAAATAACTCTGAAAAATAATCATTTAATCATTTGTGTCTTTGGCTTTCTAAATGTAATTGCATTCCTTTTACTTTGTTTTTTCGCTCTTGATTTGTTTCGGTTGTATACATTTTTTCAAAAAGTAAAATTGCATATCAAAAGCATTAAATTGCAGCTGCATAAAGTATATATTAATTAATATATACGTTTACGTTTGTGTGGGCTTTTATTTTAGATCTACCGTCTGCTATGTGGTTTCGTTTTATACATTTGCTTTGATTTAGATATTTCTACGCTTTTTAATCGTCTTGCAACGCAATTTCCAAGTTTGATCGGATGATTTTAATGTTTCTCATACAAAATATTGAGTATCGATTAGCTTAGTCTATTTCTAATATACTCTATTACGTGAACAACATTAGCAATGCCCCTAGTGAAAATATTTTCAAAAGTTTTGTTCCGCCCTCCGGCCCAATCTATGATACAAACCCTATGTGGTTAGGCTAAAGTTTACTTTAAATGCTTTCACTAAATTTTGATCGATCACTGCACATGAAATTTGTGTCCCTCATCATGCATATATAGGTATATTTGTATATATACAAAGATAGCGAGTTCTGTTCTCAGTAAAGAACTATTCTGAATCATTGCAAACAATAACAACTAAACTCAAGGTGGGCACATACCCAATTATGGCACATATCGCACATACTTTTTCTGTACAGATCGGTTGAATAATGCGTATAGTCCTGTACATAATTTACATTTTCCTATAGCAGACTGAAGCACTGGAGTCTGAAGTACTATAGCTTAAGGCTCTGCAAATTAAATTGACAATTGAAAAAGCACTCGATGGATTCGATTTTGAAAGGAGCGCTGCATAGCGGTTGACAGTTGACTTCCAGATCCAATTCTGAATGAATTTCGAATGCAATTTCCTTATATTTTCCCGATTTCTTACGGCTTAAAACTAATTTGTTTGCCTTCCTACTATTTCGGTTATTCATTTGTTTTGTGTAAATCAGTAATAAGCGTTTCGTTTTGTTTTCTCATCTTCCTCAACCATTTATGCTTTTTAAATTTTTTCTATCTTTACTTTCTCTGGGTTAAATGCAAAAAATCTTGTAAATCGTGTATACTCTATGTGAATAAGATTTACTTAGATTACGTTACGTCTTGACCATCTTTAGGATTAATATATACAACTGTTAATTTCTTTTAATGGTAACTAACAATATCATTTCTTAGCTTTAATTTAGCGTAGCCGCTTCTTTAAACCGTGTCTATATAATCAAGTGGTATATATTGAGTCATATATACGTATGTTTTGTTACTCTTGTGTATACTTAGCAAATCTGGGAATAGTATAAAGGCTATATAACTATAAATTTCGTGTATAACTTCTCTGGCTTTATGTGTGTAAGTAAGACCCGATCCAGTTCTTATCGCTGATGAATGCTTTCTTCGATTGCTACTTGTAGTTTAAGGGAGGGAGGAAGGTTGGGGGAGGGATCATTAAGCCACATTTTATAAAATGCATTGAAACTTTGGAACTACGTCTTGTATGCTAATTAAGGTAGTAAATGGTAACTTCTTTAGTTAGGGGGATCACAGTTAATACCATTTTTAAATAAACTAATTGTTTTTCACAAATAAATCGAACATTTGGCGTACGCTGCATACAATACAATTTGTTCAAGTTTAACTAATATTTAAAACAAGTTTATTACTTAAACTAAAAACGAATTGTATAAAACTAATTAAAATATTTGTTTAATAGTTGAAAGTTTAAAAATTATGCACTCCCCTGATTTTAGACTAGCGTAAAATCGGTTACATTTACTACCTTAATATCAATATCCTGCCTAAGTAAACACATTTTTAAGCCATTTTGTTGTTCAAAGTTCACTTTTCAGGAAAACGAAACGAGTTCCAATGCAGACAGCACGAACAAATGTTTATAGTTTTTTAAAAAATGAAGTTGTATTCCACTTTCTTTGAGTAGAAGTACTTTTTCTTCTGATCAGTGGCTTGTTTGCTAGTATATTTCATTTTCGTCCCAGTCGACCGATTGCAGGACCAGTTTGTCCAGCTCCTTGGAATCGCCGGAGCTGCTGTTGCGCCTGCGCCGTTTCCTCTGGAGGTGTGCCCACTTCCGGTTGAGCTGGGTGGCCATTTGGGGGGCGGCAAACATGGCCGCTGCCGCTGCACTCAGCTTGGTGGGCGTTATGGCGCTGCTGCCGCGGTTGGTGGTGCTTCCCGAGGCGGTGGGCGTGGCTCCGCCTCCGGCAGGACTCATGCTAAACAGCTCTCTGTTGCCAAAGCGAAATCTACGGGGCGGCGGCAAGGGTGGCGATGTGACAAGGTGAGGTGTGTCGTAGGGCGGAGGCGGTGTAATCATGGCCAGCGATGAGGTGTCTTCCAGGTCATGCTCCTCATCCTCACCGTCCTCGTCATCGAAATGGAACCTGGCGTCGGAGTGGCCTTCGTAAAGCTCGTATGAGGGCGTCTCCGCCAGCGGCGATTGCGGTTGAACTGGCGTCACCGGCATGGACTTGGCATATGTCCTGCCGATCATCGGGCTCCTGGCGCGTGGCTGGGCTGGGGGCGTGGTCGGACCAAGGAGCGGATGCGGGTGCGGTTGCGGAAGCGGATTCGGGTGTGGGTGTGGCAGGGCGTGCGTGGACTGGGCCTGGATGAGTGGCATCGATTTGGTGTTGCATATCAATCAATCACGGTAGATATAGCTGCAGTTCTTGGGGCTCTCCTGCGGACTGGGACTGCTGGATGGCGGGGCCGGACTGCTGCTGCTGTTGGACATTACGGGTGAGGAGCCGGAGCTGGAGTGCGGCTGCTGTGTTTGCTGTTGCTGCTGGGGGCTATTCGAACGGTGTTGAGTTACTGCAAAAGCCGGAAATAACTCGAATTAGTTGCGAAAATCCGACTTGGCATGGGTGCTTGGGTGCATGTTGCATCGATGCTTGGGTCAGGACGCTAATGGAGGCTATGGAAATGAATATTTTGAGACAACATTGAATCTGCTGCAACATGCACATAAACACTCGCACACACACAGAAACTACTGGTACACGTATCAAATAATATATCGATTATGAAAGGAAAAGTATATACCACATAAAATAGGAAATAAGATGTACTTTTTACTTTAAGAATAGTTAAAACAAAAGATTTCGATTTCTGTGATAGTCCCGAGAAATATCCGACCCATTCGGGACTCAAGTACAGATCGACCAGAGAGATATAGAGGGGCAGAGTCCTGGCGATAGATAATAGTCGTAGGTACTTTTAGAGTGAGTGTCTGTGTCGGTGTCTGTGGGTTCTGTTGGCCAGTCAAATCGTAACTCTAACTTAAGAATCTCAGGTTTTAAACTTACCAATGCCATGACGGGGCGGCTGTCTTCTTGCGCGACCAAGACTTCTGTTACGTGTGTTTGTGTTGTTTACAGCCTATGGGGTTGGAGTGTTTATCAATTTCTCTTCTTTTATATTCAAAATATTGTTTTTTGAAAGTTACACATGTCAATGTTGAAGAAAATAAAACACAAGAAAGTAAAAATGCTAAATTGATTCAATCTAGGGAAAAACGTTCGCAATCAATTTTTGATCTCAAATGTTGCAAGGCCAGGCCAATTTCAAGAAGTATTTTAAAGGTGTGGTTCTATGAACCCGAATTGATTTAAATTTGTGTACCGTTTTGTTTTGGATTTCTCAAGTGCTAATGCAATATATTCCAATTACTTTCTGGTCTGCACTTTTAAGTGGGCAAGCAAAAAACGAAAAAGATTGTAGCATATACCATATAGAAACGAAAGCAAAATAAGTACGTGTATCATGGTGGGGTAGTAGTTTATTATTACCGGGATGTATTATATTTGTGTCTTAATTATCAAACGATTTTTGTATTGCACACACACAGACACGCACTTTTATCAATTTGCTTCACGGATTTCGGTATAATAAGTTTATGGGTTTGGGGTTTTGGCGCCCATGCAGAAGAGTTCAAGCGGTTCAAGAGGGTCAGTGTTGGGGTAATATGTCATATCTAATCAAACAACAAGCACACACACCCTCTCAATCACGCAGAGGTCAAACAAAGGTTGAAGGAAGCGTTGGCACTGACGATTTGCGAAGCGAGTTGGGCGCGGGATGGCTGACTGGGCTGGACTGACTGAACTGGCCTGATTGACCGACTGATTGATCGATAACCTTTTTAGCCATTCGAAAATGTGTAATGTTGAACCAAAAGTAACGGTGAGTGAAGAGAGAAGAAGATAGCAAGCAAAGCTTCTGCAAAAGTGACTATATAACTATCAAAAAATTAAAACTAAATTTGCAATAGTGCTCCAAATTTTAAATATAATTAATGGAAAGAGAGATAGAAATTGGGGAGATTTTGAGAAATTACTTTTTGCCTATGGAATTTCGGTTTAGCTCGTTGTGAAGAGAGCTTCCGTATTGCAGCTTTTGAGCAAAACATTGTCCAGATTAATAAGAATAGCAAACGCAAGCCGACCATGGAAACATTTCAACCAAAAACGAAAAGTAAAATAAAAAAAATTGAAACTAATGTGAAATAAATAAACTCAAATGGCTTTAGTTATAAATAAGTATTTACCATATTTTGGGTAATTAGTCCCTGACTGGTTTCAGCCGCCCCACTCCCGTCTCAAAGGTAAACCTAATGTAAAAAAGGGGAAGAAGAATAGAGAATAGATAGAGATAGATTTTTTGTGTAGTTTATGGTATGCAAAAGTAAGTATCGATAGATAGAGTTTCCCGTTGAGTTGAAGTAGTATTAAGAATGTAAATGTACAGAATGCTTAGATAGGTGGAGGGGTATAGTGGAAGCCCTGCAAAGATCCAATCCCACTTGGTTCGAACGATTGGTGTATTTCCAGATTTAAGACAGAACCCCAAAATATTAGCGTTATGGAATGGGGTGAGTAATGAAGATGGTATCTTAACATGCGCTTTATCATGAATTAGAGAAAAAATGGGTTATATTGTAATTTGATGTTTGGCGGTCTCCCAATTAGCAGGAAACCATTTTTTTTCAAGGAAATACAAAATTTGATTTAAAAGGATTATTTTAGGACAGTTAGCATTATGACACACTTCCGCGGACAATTCAGTTCTATCCAGTATTTTTATATGATGTAAAACAATAATGATTTATAAGTGGAAAAAATATAAGTGAGCATGCAATGAGTTTAAAAATAAATAATATTAGTACAACGACTTCATCTACAACGTTAAAAACAACATGTATGAGGGTTACAATATATAAGAGTGATGCGACTTTAAGCTATATACTTTTTAAAAAACAATTAGACGACGTGGCGGCAAAGAAACCCGCACACACTCGTACGCACTAACACAAAGATAGAAAATGTGAGACTAAGAAATACACCAATCGACGATTGTGTGAGGAGAGTTCAATCAAATACAAGCGCAGCACAAGGACTCTCGATGGACGAGCAAGTTAGTTAACTAAGGTCAATAAATGTCGAACAACATCGATAAGAGCGCAATGGTTACGGTTAGAGATTAGTTGTAGTACGATACGATAGTCGGAAAATAAAAATAAATCGTTCTGCTCGACCAGATCGTTAAGCAATAGTGGCACAACTCACCTTCTTGACGCTGCGGGTGGTGGAAAATCCATCTCCGCGCCTGTAGTTTTCGCCCTGGGAACACCATAATAATATAAAAGCCTTATTTAAAATCCAGCAAATCAAAATACTCACCATCACCTGGTGGGAACGTAGGGTTCCGAAGTTGTCTCGACCGCGATACGATTGCTGGGTGTTGTAGCCATCGGGTTGGAACTGGAAGAGGGTCTCCGAGTTGGGACCCTGGTGCATTTGGTGCATGGGCGGCTTGCGCAGCGTGTTCTTTGGCGAGTGCATCTTGTTTGGCGGCGGCGGCTGGGGCAGAAGCACCGGTTCTGCGTACGTCACCTCTTCCACCTGAGGCAACAGCTTGGGCTCCTGCTGGATGCGGCAGGACGAAGGGAAGCTGGGCCAGAAAAACGTATTAAATATTTTTCGAAAATTTATTTACGTACGTAAAATTCGAAATTCTTAAATAAAGCTATAACCAAAGAAGAAGAAAATACGATAAATAAAAAAATAAACAATAATTTTTTGGAATTATTTTCTCATAATTTTTGCAACCGTTTTTGTGATAGCTATAGGATATAGTAACCCGATTTAAACAAACTTCATTCAAAATTATAAAGTCGCAAAAGAGGTCTGCACCCCAAAGTAGGAAAGAAAATGATCAATCATGATTCGATATTTTTTAGAAGAGCTTGTTCCGATTTGTACGAGTATAATACTATAATACTAATACTGTAAAGGAAATAAGGCTTTTGGGAAAATTTAAGACTGAGAGACTAGTTAGCGTAGAAACGGAAAGACGGCTATCGATCGTTTTTTCAAACTTAAAAGCATGGCTAACTTTTAAATTATGATACTGTAGGTTTTTAAAAAAGCTAAAAGTCGCCCTGATTCTTATTGGACTTAAAATTTCTTGTTCAGGTGGATGGAGAAAAGGAGTCAAAGCGTCTAATCTCCGCCGGTATACCCAAGGCAGTGTACTAGGCCGGACTCTGAACTCACTTTAAACACAAGATATGCTAGAATCCTGCTGATATGCTGTATAGTAGTTGACGATCATAACGTACTCATCGCAACATACGCTGGAGTCGCATGCGTCACAAGACCACAGAACTGACCAGGAATTTCTATGCTCAGGTAGAAACCCACTTCAAGGTTTAAGAAGAGAAACGCAATGATGGTCAGGCGGACTGTGCTTTAACAGCCTCCAGTATGTCCCTGCTTTCTCGCCGAGAAATAAGCTCCCATTGTCGTCCAATAATGTTCGCATAGACTCGAACAACCCCATTTTGAGCCCAATTTGGAAACAAGGGTTAAACGTCTACGACAAAACGTCTAGAACTAACCTTAATAAACTTGCTCAAAGAAAGCCCATTGATCAATTTAAAATGCTAATCGGGGGGTAATGAGAATTAGAGCACTTACCTATTGACATTTTGCCGCTGCTCAAAATATTCGTACTCCGTGTCGGGATACGGCAGATTATCGTCTTCGTCCTTATGACATCGGCGACCACAAAAGTATCCTGTAAAGAAGCCAACCAGCAGCGAGAAAATTGAGCCGGCCAAGACGGCCATCACAAGGGTTTCCACCGTGTACTGGGCGTTGATAATATCTGCAGAGATTTGGGGACCTTCGGTTAGTGCAATTTCATAAGTCGAATTTAGTTCATTTCGCATTGATACATTGTGCATTAGGCAAAACATTCAACAAACATTTAAAATCACAACAAATATGTAACCGTTTTTTCGGTTTGTTGTGTCGGGTTTCAGGTGGGTCGGTTTTTGTTTCAGTGTGGGGTTGAATGGAGATTGGTCCATTATTGTAACGACATCAATAAACATCCAAACATCGAATTTATAACGCACGGTATAAGGTTGTTGCACGGTAATTGTTCAAAAAATAATAATGAATGAAACGAGAAAAACATGTTTAAGAATAGTTAGTAAAGTTGTACAACAACGAGGATAAAACTTATTTAGTTAAAGGTATGGTTAAGAAATTATAAATATATTTTATTAAAGTTTTGGCAAATATACAAGAAGCACAGACAGGCAAAGCTAACAACAATGCATATGGTTAACATTAATTAAGATTAGTTTATAACCATATTTTTATATGTAACAGGTAAGATCTTATGATCTTGCTTAAAATAAAAATTTTATAAATAAAAGAGGGCCAGAAAATATTTATTAGGGTTGGTTATTTTATCTTTTCTATAATTAACGGCGAATTTTTCGGAGCGATGGTATCAATACTTTCTCAATTTTATGGCAAGATCGCCATATTTTGTAGAACAAAAAGTCATCTAAAATCTGAATGGCTTGAGTTCGAGCCCACGAAGAGTCAACTTTCCTTTTTCCCCTTCTCGAAATTTTTTTTATTGAATTTGTGAACCATTTGTTATAATAGTAATAGTAGGTAAAATTTTAAGGTTTTTGTCTTAATTGGCAAAAAAACATAATTTTTTGTCATTATTGAGAATTCTCCCAACAAAATACAATTTGAACCGTTTTTGCACGTCGATGAGCGGCAGTGTGTTCGATTCTCGCAGAGACCATGAAGGTTTTCTCAAAAAGTAAGTTGTTTGATTTTTAAAAGAATTTTCCTCATTTATTGACTATTTTTAGTTTTCATAATTCTAATTAGCAATTCCACAAGATGAGTTGAGCGGCCTAATAATAACCTCTAAAATCATGGTAAACGGGACGCAAAGTCAAATAATCTTAGACAGATCCCAGAAAAAGTTACAAAGTTCCTCGGAAATGTTTGCAGAAATCCCTAGCAAGCAATCCCTAGTCCAAGCCCCATTTAAAAAAAAACTTTGAATTTTTACGGCAGTGGCCCTTGTTTGTAAGCGCTTTACCTTTAAAACATTAAAAACATATATTTACGTCGCTGGCTTCATTTCATGTAATTATAATCTCGTAAGGATGTAGGCAAAGATCTTTTCGCAAAACATCGACGTCACAGAGATGCCCAACGCCATAAATTGGACGTAGCGCTCATAAAGGCCACTGAGTCCGAGTTTCAGAGAGAATTTCATATTGAGTGTAGTATTAATCTCATAGATCTAAGATACAGTTTCGCCTTTGAGCTATCTATCCGAGTCACTACCACATTTACGTATGAAAAATGTTATGGAATCATTTGTAACATGTGAGTAAAATTAAAAGAAAAAATGAAAATGGCGTCCTTCGTCTTGGTTTTCATTTAAAAATAATAGTCGAAGCTAGTCTGCAAAGGTATAAAAACACTCCCATATATAGTGAGTATATAGGGGTAACGGAAGTACTGTCTTCCCGAAATCCGGGGCTGGCAGTAAGTTGAAGCTCAAAAAAACAGATTCGCTTAAAAACAAAGTGCAAGGCAGCGGTTACGATGGGACAACAAGCCGGCAGTCGAAGTTCAGGGAATCCCAACAAAATGAAAATGTGATTTGCAAGGTAGACAACACAGAGAGCAAGCAAAGGTCGAAGGTTGCAAAGGAGGTGGGCGAAGTGACAAGCAAGTACGTGCGTAACACAAAGCGAACGAATGCAAAGTAAATATGATAAAAAATGTGCAGGAAAAGCGTTTCGGTAAATCACCTTCAAAGTTCTTATCAATATTGTCGATGATTTCCTGATCCTTGCTCTGGCGCCGCGAATCCAATAAGTCCATGTCGTTGCGGAAGCCCTTCTGCTCCCCTGCGTTGGCATCCTTGGAATTGATTTTGCCTGTACGGGAACAGAATAGCGTTAATCTTGTCTTCTTTGGCCAGTCTGCGTGGCAAAACTTGGCAGTCACCTGAGGGGCAGGCCGCGTGCTGGCCGGTGGCCACATTCTGGTAGAAATAGTTCTCCTCCAGCCATCGGGGAGCTCCGTGGGAACGGCACTTGCCGGCAATTTTGTCCCAGGCGCAGTAAGGGTCCTGCAATGCGACGCACTCACTGCGAACAGACGAAAAATTGTGGATAAATACGTGCACTCGGAAAAAAGTATCGACAAATGTATTAAATTCAGAAGCCCAAGGAGCATAGCTTCGGGTTAAAGTATGCACCAAATTCTGTGTTGTTTTAGTCATTTTGGTTCTTTCTAGTTTAGATAAAAATATAAAACAACCGTTGGTAACGGAGCTACAAACATTTAGAATCCATTTATCTTTCAGTATATTTAAATATCTTTGTCGTGTAGAAAAATGTAATCGCAATTTCGGATACACTTGTGTTTTTCAGTCGAGTGTAAGCCCCACGAATATACTGCATATTGAGGCTGTCAAGTGCCTGTCAAGTGACACGAGAGTCACGCAAATTGTTACATGATAATAAAAATGCCATTGTCTGGATAGGTGGATATAGGGGGGCGGCATCACACTTACCTGCAGCTGGTGATTTTGTCATTGTGACATCGGTGCAATTGGATGGCTACCACCTGGCTGTCCGTCACAATGATTAGTTTGCCATCGTCGTAGCTGCCATCTTTGGGTTGATCTGCGGGTTAAAAGTGTTAGGTGCCATCGCTTGCATATTGTTGCTTTCTAGCCGCCTAACTCACCGTATTGCATAGTTCTAACTATCTCTAGATTACGTATGGGCTCACTTTTGGTCAGGACATCGATTTCCTCGATGACCACGGAGGTCACTTTATCCGCGGAATCGGCGGATTCGGCATTTACCGACTTGATTATCTTTCCATGATCTGTTAAAATAGAGGATTTGTTGTTATAAAGCTTGTTTTCCGAGATGGCATAGATTTGATAAACTGTTTTCAATTTACTACACACCTGTGCCTACAAAAATAACGTCATACGTCTTGCCACCCGGAGTTTTGATCTGTGCATCTACAGCGATTTGGGTGAAGCGATAGCTGCGAAGGGGCACAATAAATAAATAGGACATTAAAAAAAGAAACTTAACAAACGTTGTCCATATTTCATTTGCTTCTTAATTACTTTTTCTATTCGATTTCATTTAGATTTTATTCTTCTTTCATCAACGACCCTCGTGGTCAGCTTCTAAATAGAGGAAAGAATGTCAGAGCATGTTTTCCTTATTTTGCGACATTGTGTTTGGCCAGTTTTCCTGACAATGGACGAACGTCTGTCATTTCGGTTAGATGTCCATTAATAATGGACGGACGTCAAAATGGTCGCCGTTGTCAGGATGTGAAGTCAAAGGATGTGGCTCGCTGGTGCGATGGCGGGACTGGTTAGTCGAGGACTTTAACGAACAACTACCACTGCAACACGACTGCCAGCAACAGCAGCAAGAAACAGTTTGCGTTTTTTTGTGAAAAAACATATTCCGAACAACAACACAAGTAGATGAAATAAAAACGAAAATTTCCCTCTGATTTCACCGCACAAACGACGCCCGTCTGCCCCCAAATCCCGCGTTGTTGCAACATTTGTGGCCTGGTCCACGTCCATTGTTGCTGGCATGCCTTCTGCCTCGATTTAAATGCAAATGCCCGGCAGCAGGAGTGGATGCTTCCAAATGGGAGCTGGGAGCTGGGATCTGGGTTCCATTGCTCTGCTTTTTTATTGTTAATTAACTAATCTTGTTTTCGGGGCTCCGGTTTGTATGGAGCAACCATTTTCAAATTGCTCAACGTTTGTGCGAATAATTCATTAGATAAAGTTTTCATTTCAGACGAGTTAGGGATGGAATTTGTGAGGTTTTCAGAAACTAAATTGCATCTCAGTTGGTTGGCACGCCTAGAAAATTCGTTTCGGCTTTAAAATAATTTTCGACCTCAAAAATTAATTTGAGCTAAAGAGATGTGTTTTTAAAGAACATTTCTACCAAATGTACTAATGTATTATTAGAATTAAATGGCTTACTTAACATAAAAAATATACACAACTCTAAGGCTTACGTATTAATTGCAAATTCAGCCAAGGCATACAAAATATGTACGCAGGAGAATAGGAAAATGTCTAAATAGAGCATTGGGATCACGTCTTGGGTCAAAGTCCAAAGTCCTGCCCATTGAAACTTGAAAAATGTTGCCAACTTTTTGTATCGCTCCGATGACAGCCGAGTCGGCAGGCAAATGGCACGAACCGGAGGGAAGTTAGTCGTTATTTGTTCCCCTCCTGCAGCCCAAGAAAGCAGCCCGAAATTGAGCTGACTGTTAAGCTGGTAGTGAAGACGATAAGAACATGTTGAGGACAACGCTATACCTTGGGACAGGATGCAGACGGGATATGGTCAGCCAGCTGGCTGAAATCAGTTGAAAATGGGATGCTTCCGGTCTGCGTCAGGAAACAATTTGTAACGGAGCCGAGCTGCCAACTAGCTGGGACATTGAACTTAAGTCGAGTCTCTTCGAATACGGCTTTCAACTTGCGGCAAACTTTCACCACTCCGCCGGACTACTATGCGAATTATTTGCTTCTTTCCTAGATTTATAAGAGCCACGCCCCCACAGGCTGCTGGCACTCGAGGAGCGGAAGTTGGCTGGCCAAACGATATTATTATAAATTTATGTTTCGGACAAGTGCCGTAAATTCTGGAGAATTTTTGATTTGATTTTGTCATTCGCGTTCGATAAATCCCCTCACATTGCTCAGCCTATCGTGTCGACGCCCTCGTTTTGCGGCATGTCCTTCTGGCTCCAACTCGAGAATAATTTATGCGATTTGTTCGAATCGAACATGATAAATGAATTTCCCAAACAAAACTGCCTTGACCTGAATCAACGGCCGCTAAGCTGTTGAAGACGTGCCTAAACCGAAGGGGATTTATAGCAACTCACAGAGTGGTGGGGCACCAAATAATGAAAAGGTGAACTACTTAAAAAGTACCTTATACTCTTTTGACGTTCGTGCAAAATGTATATGATTATACCCGTTACTCGAAGAGTAAAAGGGTATACTAGATTCGCCGGAAATTACAGACCAGGTAAACGGATGCGTTTCCGACCCCATAAAGTATATATATTCATTATCAGTACCCCTAGCCGAGTCGATCTAGCCCCGTCCGTCTGTCCGTATGAACGCTGAGATCTCGGAAACTATAAGAGCTAGGGTTGGGACTTGGCATGCCGATTCTTAGGCTTCCTGCTTAGATCAAGTTTGTTTCAGCAGGGTGCCACGCCCACCCTAGCGCCCAAATTTTTATAAAAATGTATTGTATCAATTTAAAAGAGAGTTTTTTCTTTGTATCAATATACTATATACACGCCAAAAATTATTAAAATCGGACATTAAAAAGTTAAACCCAAATAATATTGCTGGGGGCGCTATAGGCTAGTTGGCGCTCTAGGTCAAGTGGCGCTATAGAAGAAGAAGATAGGTGGCGCTATAGGCTAGGTGTGTTAGTAAAAAAGCAGAGTTGCTTAAAGCATATTTCCGTCCCTCTCACACTCCCTTAAGCTGAGATACGGGTATCTTATAGTCAAGGCCATCGACTGTAGCGTTTTCGCTTGATTTTACTTAACCCAATGTCAAATCAACTTATAATAATACACTTGTTTTTCAAAAAGACTTTGGAAACAGGGCTCCTTTAAATCAGTTAAAAGATGTGAATAGTTCTAGTGAATTGTATTCACATCACTTGTTAATCGCTCGAGCCATTGAACGTGATTTAATATTGACTTGACCCCAATTGATCGGCAAAGTTTAGAACACTTTTAAATTGATTTATTGAGTGGCGAAGACGCCTAATCACGATTTTAAATGCGAAGTCCCAACTTAAGCCAGGCCGATTTAAATCAAGATTTAGTCATACGGCTGACGGGATGTGACATGTGAAAAGCTGAGCTAAAAAAATTCTGAAGTTACTTTTGCGCATTTTAATGGCTTTCAATTGAGTGTCCCGGGGTCTTGATTAAATTCCGATGCACGCCCGGATCCTCAGGCGTTGCATCCGTTGCTCCAGCCCCCAAAATGCAATGAGTCAGTTGCAGAAAGTGGCGGCTCCACATCACCCACTCCACACACATTTGTTGTGGTGTGCTCATGTGGCACACAAAATGTTCGGGGGTGCGGATACGGATGCGGACGTGGAGGGTATGCGGATGCTGGAGCAGGTCCGCAGACTGCGTTGTTGCTACGTGTTCCATATTTCATTCTAATTTATTCAGTTGTGCATACATATTTTCGTTACGGGTTGCCTCCTCGGCGCATCCATGCATTTCCTTCTGGATGGCTCGCTTCGTTTGCTTCAAACTATCGCAAAGGCAACTGCAGTTACCCCACCACCTGAGCCACCACACAGTGGTTCTCGTCCATAGTTCCCCAAAAGCATTTTGACAATGCGGTTTTCCACTCTGTATATTTTGGCTGTAAATTAATCGGAAGATAGACTTTTAATAGCCGTAATCCAAAGACAAAAGCGTGAACTATCGTAGGAAGAATTTTAGAAAAAAATTTCGTTACTTGTAGCGTATAAGGTAATATTAGATTCGTCGGAAAGTATGTAACATGTAGAAGGTAGTGTTTCGGACCCTGTAAAGTATATATATATTCTTGATCAGGATCACTAGCCGAGTCAATTTAGCCATGTTCGTCTGTCCGTATGAAGGCTGAGATCCTGGAAACTATAAGAGCTTGAATGTTGGGAGTAGGCATGTAGATTCTTGGGCTTCCTGTGAAGCGCTCACAAAGTACAGAAATTTTGCCTTCAAATAAGATTTTGTTCTTCTTATCAATACCCATATACATGCCAAAAATTATTCGAATCGGACCATTCATTAAAAAGATTTAACCAAATAATAATGAATTATTAGGAAACGCAATGGAGATTCCGGCTGTTTTCACTAACACGCTAGCTGGCGCTATACGCTAACACGCTAGATAGGTGATTGGCTGTAAGCATATCTTCATTTCTCTTGCACTCCCTGTAGCTGAATAACGGTTACGTAACAGTCATGGCTATTGACTAACAAGAATTTTTAAATCGGTATATAAACGCTTATTGATACACATTAAAAAAATGATGACCAATGTTGAAAAATAAATATATTTACACGTGCTGCACATAAAGGATAAAGTTGACCCACTGTGCGCCACTACATCTCCGTCGAAAGTGGTACTCAGTGGCTCGCCTATGAAGCAGCCCTTTTTAAAGTTTCAACGCTTTGCCGGCTCCCATCTTGGCGCATTTCGCCATAATTGTGGCTCAATTACACGGAAAAGTTACCAAATTGAATTTTTAAATTCACCCTCAGGGCAAAGAGGGCGAAATCGCTGGCAAATAATTTACGGGAATAAGCCACCCGTGTTTGCATTTCAGGTTAAATCGGTGTGCGGTTATTGGCGCGGACTAACACCTCGTCGAACTTCCATAAACTCGAGCGGGTGCTGCACACACTTTATATGATCCCATATCAAGACCGATCTAAAGCTGTCCGTGATTACAGGATGACGCATAATGATCGTTAGCTCAGTGAACTAGTACTTTTTAAGACCACTTTAACCACTAAACCAGGCGAGTTGGCCACTTGGCAGACTGTGGAGTTATTTACTGCTCACAGTTTACTGTCATATTTCTCTCACCGGAAACGGAAGTGACAAAGCAAAGAAATAAGGACCATGTGCATATGTTGCAGTGCTGTTACTCACATTGTGCTCGTCCGGACCAAAATCGGTTGACTGAAAAATGCCGGCACATTCTCGTCCATTAGCGAATGTGTTTTGATGAAGTTCAATGTGGGGTCCGGAAGCGCTCTCGAATCGTTGTGACAGGACCCAGGACGAGGTTCGGGCACCTAAATGAAAACGAGCAACAGAAGATATATACCATTTTGCTAAATACATGTAAATTATAAAAGTTCTTACAGCAGATGTGAGTTATTGAATTGCAAATAAAATTATCGCCTTGGCATTCTAATAACCTCAAGTAAATTTGTCCAAAAAAGGATTTTAATTCTTAAAGAGTTTAATACAGCGTTTTGAAATCGCTTTAAAGTTCCAAAACTTCTTGCCAAATAAGGACGAAAGACAAATCAATAACGGCTTGTGCAGTCATCTGCTGGAAATTGGCAGAAGCATTCGAGATGCAAATGCAAATTTTGTGCCAAACGAAAAATACATTTTTATGGCAAGTCGGCCATGAGTCATAAGATTCCCTGGCAACAGATGTGCTGGAGTGCGGTCGCAAGGAATTCCGGATTTTGGATATCAACGCTTAAGGACAGGACTTACCTTGGCATTGTTTACTGGGAGCCAGTTGGAGTTGATGCCGCTCTGTTCCTTGAACTGGCCCTCAAACGTATCGGCTATGTCCTGTGGATGGGAAGGTAACGACGAAAATTTAATTTTCCATTTCAGAAAACAATTCAATCGCAGACAAACTTACCTGCAGGGCAAAGGCACAAACCGCTGAGCCGGGAATGGAGTTGCTCGGCGTGTTGAAGACCCCGTAGATCAGTTTCGAGCTCATCGAGCCATACTGTCCCTCCACTAGATTGCTGGCCGATTCTAAGATTGTCAGATAAATATAATATCTAATAGTTGCAGTCAAACATGTTTAATATGCACTATTTATATCCCGTGTGTCACTTATTTAACTACATATTACCTTTATTGTGAAAATACGTTTTGTAAAGAACTGATGCCTCTATCTACGATTTTATTTGCTTATTTTGAACTCTGGGATTTCAATTAAAATTAAATTGAACGTATTCACAACAGAATAAAAACCGCTTCCGACAGTAAATTTGTTGGATTAAAAGAAAATTATTAAATAGACGACCATCAACGGATTTAAACTTGTATGTTTTGTCACATGAATTATAAAACCAATTTTACTGTTTATAATATCTAACAACAGAAACGTATGTGAACGGTGCAGGTTCATTGCTTTAAAAACCGGAAACTTACGGATTTCGTTAAAGTAGAAGGGATAATCGCCGGGAATGGAGCAGTTGAGTCGGGACTTAAGGAAGGATGTCCAGCGGTTGCGGAATCGATGCGGGCCACCTTTATCCCATTTGCAGACGCGGGCAACGCGCGAATAAATCGCCTGAAAAGACCATCGAAGGATAGGATATTATTTTGCTCAGCTTGAGGCTAGAAATTGCCAGGACATTGAGGACCAACAAATGCGACAATCTGCGGAGCATAAATAAACCCTTGGAAAATGCCAAACATCAGCAGTTATTTTGTCCAACTTTATTTGTGTTTTCCTTGCGTTTGATTGCATTTGTTGGTGCTTTTTGCTGCAAATTGATTGGAATGCTCTTCTTCGCTTGGTATGTGTACAAACCTTGCCGCAGTTGATGAACTCCACAGCGGTTTCCCGAAAGAAGAAATAGACAAAGTCTCCCTGCGTAAATGAGCTTACGAAGTTCGGTGCTGCGAAAAAAAAACAAAATTGTGAAAGTTCGGAAATCAAATACATTTGTAGTTTTTAAGATTGTAACATTTTTATAGCCGTCAATTTTCAAGTATGGTCAATCTTCATGGATTTATGATGTACTCGTGTGTGCTTGCGAGTATTATATGACATCAGTCCGTATTACAGATTTTATTAAATCATTCGTAAGGGTGTTTCAAGGCACGCAAGGCTTGTCGATGTACGACATACTTTTCGCTAAATTCAAAATCAGCAGTTTTCTAAACGACAAATGTTAATGGATCACATATATTTATGAAAACGTATTTTAGTAAGCTGTATCAAATACAACGGTATTAAAAGAATGATATTCCAGATTTTATATGGCATGAAAGCTCAATATATAAGATAGTGTATTGTATGTATTGTATTAATAATATAGTCTTTAAGTTTATTTAAAAAGAATCACAAAACCTGTTCACTATATAGAACCTAAAAGAGCAATCACAAAAGTTTAATTAATCGAATTCAAAGTAATATTATAAATCAAACAGCTTATGATCATTTCTGATTTATTTTCTAACTATCGCTCAGACTCCTCCGAATTAACTAAGAACCTCCCAAGTCATTGCTTTCGATACAGGTCCTATGGGATATTTAATATGAATTATGAAGTCTGTCACACACCTTCGGTGGTAAATGACAATCGAACGTGCCACGTCGGTTCAGATTCAGATTCAGTTAATGGATTCAGTTAATGGAACATGGCCGAGGTCCTTGAAATATGCAAAAGGCAATCGCGCGCCATCGTAAACTGACATTCGACAGGACACCATGGACCCTACCCTCACGGGCTGCGGAGGAAATGGGGAGATGGGCCCCAGGACTCGCACTGCGCTTAAGCGGAAGCGCCATCCTGACAGGGTCCATGACATTTTCAATTACCACAAGTGGCTACAATAGCACCCAGGAACCAGGAACTTACCGTTGAGACTTAGGCTATCGTACTGCTCGGTCTGCAGGGGTTCTCGGTAGATAATCGGATCGCTTCCACTGAAATCCGCTACGGTCCCGGAATACAGTTCGTTGTCTGAAAAAAGGAAAAAGTTAAAAAATGTAGTACTCTTTAAGCACACAAAACGTATTAAATAATTTTAAAAAAAATTTAAGGAAGGAGAAATCCAAAAGTTTCACTTTCAACTGGCTTTAACATTGAAAAAGCAATATTTTTCAATTAGACTTTCTTCATAAATATCTACAAGTGCAATAATTGTGCATTAAAGAGAAGACGTCTTGAGTATTATAAACTATTTATCATTTCATGTTCTTCTGGCACAAGTCACATTCATACGCCCTGTTAGCCGTCTAAATGTTAGCGACAAATTCCATTAAGCTAAACGACAACGTTGAGGGGACAAGTTTGACATGTCTTCTCGGTTGGCATTGAATTCGCCTGTGGCCACATTGCGAAGATAAATGAGATTTCCTTGTTTTTATTTTGTCGTTTTGATTTTTGTTTGTGCAGAGGCTTTGGCTTTGGACTTTGTCCTGCTGTAGCTCCGGCAGCAATAAAATAAAGACGCCATTGGAATAAATATGGAAAAACAGAATCAAGCCCGAACAATAGAAACGGAAATTCCGAGCACCCGCTTATTGTCTGGCCGGAAATGGCTTTGCTGTCTCGGCATCGAAATCTCAGCACCTCCATCCAAACAATTCAGCAGAACAGTAATCAGTGCTCCCGCGTTGCTACATACTCACACACATTTTAACACATCTGTCTTAAAGCCGAATTGATTAGTATACATTATATTTTCTATCTATATATTTTCTTTTCATTTTCATATCCCATTATCTTGATGGTTTTTAATGTTCTTATGCTCTATTATTACTTTATATAAAGAAAAGCAATAAATTGCTTTGAACTCTTTAAAATTTGTGTATTGGTTAATAAGGTACGTCTGGTCATGTGACATTAAATTGTTTCGTCTTTGTCGCGCTCCTAAGCTAAGTGCATATTCATATGCAAAGCAAGTAAACCCTCTATATATTAACATTAAAGTAAAACAAAACTGGTTGAATAAACTCAAGATGTTAGATCTCTCATCTCTCACAGAAACTGTCGGCAACGGTTTGGGAGCATTTCATATATTGATTTTGTTATCAGAGCCTATACCAACACATATGTAGGTCCTAATCAGGCTTTGGGTGATAAGATTGTTGTTATTATAAACGAATGAAATTCAGGAACTTGAACACTGCCAGTTTTGGCCGAGGTTGAGTTCAGTTGCGAGTAACAATAATGCGCTTCCCAGTGTTTTGTCTAGTGATGGGGTTTTGTGTGCAATATTCAACTGCAAGACGACTGGTAAGAATATAAACTATAGAAAAATGGAATTTACTAAACTTATCAATGGTCACAGGTCGAGAATGGCGACTTTGCCAAATCCGTCTCAGAATACATGTCAGAAATGAGGAATGAGCTCACTACGAAATTGCAAATTATGTTGGATCATCAAGCCCAGAAACTGAACAAACTCATATCGGAGCAGGGCACTCGATCTGGTGACAATGCCAATCAAACCTTAGAAGAGGGGGTCTGGAACTTTGAATGTTCCAAGCCCCCTCACACCACAAAAATGTGTGCACATGTTGGGGGAAAGCACTATTTCATTGACTACCTCCGAATTGCCACCTGGTCAGAGGCCGAACGTTTTTGTCGCCAAATGGGAGGACACCTGGCCAGTTTGCAGAGCAATCAGGAGTGGCAAGCACTTGAAGAGATAGTCAACCATGGCCAATTCTTTTGGGTAGATATCAATGACACAGTGACCAAGGGTAAATACATGTCCGAAACCACCGGCGAGGATGCTAGCTTTTTAAAGTGGGATTACAACGAACCGAATAATTGGAACGGAGATGAACGCTGTGTTCATCTTAAGGCTGTCACATTTTTAATGAATGACGCCCCATGCAGCTCGAGCTACAATTTTATCTGTGAACGGTAACAAAGTAAAGAGACTCAATTCGGGTATAAAGTATATATGTTCATTCCTTCTGAGTTTTTCATAATAATTTCTTTAATTAACTACCAAAATTGGGGGAAAAGATAACCTGTAAGTAATTATCAAAATAAAATCTTATCTTAAATCAAAAGATGAGGATAGATCATATTAGTTCATGAATTCCTGAAATATTTGCAGTTGAAAATTTCAGGTTGACAGTGTAAATGAGCGAGGGCCGCCGTTTCAATAGAATTTTCTGATTATGGCCTTGTGAATTTGAACGCATTTTTGATTTTTGGCCGGGTTTTGGGGTTGCCCTATTGCGACCCCCCAATAACCTATAAACTTAAAAGAGCGGCATGAGTGCGTCGCAGGTACACCGAAAACGGGAATTACGTGACGGAAACGTGAGCGGCAAGATGTGAGCAATAGTGGAACGAGCGACTAGAGAGCTGTACATTAATTTGAGAAAAGCCACATTAAAAGCGTCGTCTGCAACAAATTAAATTTTTCCACCACCGTCCCTCTGATTTGCCGGCAGGCGAGTGCTTAAGTTAAGAGGCTGTAAAAGTCACGCGATGAGTGAAAAGTGAAAGTAGGGGAAGTACCCAAAAGTCTTTCATTTCAGGGGCGGGGGTGCTGAAAACGGGGGACAGGTTGGGCTAACGGCCAATAAAAACAATTTCCCAAGTGGAGTAAATAGTCAAGGAATCTTAAATCAAAATCATTAAATCTTTTAATGTATATTTTAACATAAGAAGTCACCTAAAAGTAAAAAGTTTCACAAAGCACAAGACGTGTTCATTTAAGAAAACCCTTTTACTGTGAGATTCTCTAATTCTATACAAAATAAAACTAGAGATGCATTTTATTATGGAGTATTATTTTTATTTTTTTTGCATGCGTAACAATGTTATCCTTTTGACAAATTTGTGCCAATCAAGTACTTGCAATAATGTGTCAAAACAAACTTAAGGTTTAGCCTTTAATTCAGTGGATAATTCTATAACGTCAAAACTTTTTCTTAAATGCACGTAATTAACAATGAGAATGCAATTAGCATAGCGACCGAAGGTTGTAATTGTTGTAGTTTCATTTAGATGAACGTTTTTTGTTGCACCGAAGCAGCTTTCTTTGGCCTTCGCTAACAAGGTGCACAATAGGATAGAACCTGCCCCCAGCCGACGACCCATCGACCCGTCGACCTGTCGCAACATCGACAGGACACGAAAAGTTGCAGCTGCCACCTTTGGCCTTCGCTGTCCTCGCTGCATCTAATTGGTTTCTGTTTGTGTGTGTGTTTTTGCCCACGTCTCTTTCTTTTCCGCCCCGTCTTTCTCTTTCTCGTCATTGTTTCGTGCAGCGACGTTTGCTTTTATTGTTTGCTCATTATAACGCCAGTTACCTGACGACCCACGTCCAACCGAGCAGGGCTCGGACTCAAAATCCGACTCAGACTAAGGCTTGGGAAACTTTTCCGCATTGCAGCAATTGTCCGGACTTAACTCATTTTAAATGACAATCTAGCGTGCAAAAATTATGCACATCGGCCACGTCTTGTCCCATCTCTTTCGCACGTTGGGCCTCTCTAGGCGCTTCTCAAAAAGTCTTGGTCTGGTCCGCGCACAGTTTCAAAACGTTTTCGCTGTGTCTGACTGTGGCATAAAGTTCGATAAACTCTTTAAGTGATTTAATCGATTTTCTGGGCTTGTCGAGGGAAGCGGAAAATGCTCTTTAGAGCGTCGGGAACAAGGCGTAATGAAAGTTCATCGCGTTGAATGCGGCAATTTGCATATTTTTGCATGTTTTATTATGCGGCTGGCACACACACGAGCACATGCTAATACATAAATTACACTCATTTTCAATGACAGGACGGGCAGGGTAAGGGGTGCAAGTAACGAGGGCACCGGCGGGAATCGCGCTGGGACAGGCAAAGCTTTATTACCGGAACGTTGTGTTTTAAATATTTGATATCAAGCACATACATTCTGCTCCGAATACACTAATAATTGCCTTTTTTCAGGGTCTAAGGATAATCATTGTTTTAATACCTTGAATTAGGTTCATTCATGCCTGCGTATGCCGAGTATAGGGTCCTTACATAGTTAAAAAGCCCACTTAAGAGTAATTACCCTCAACCGTGTACGTATCAATATTTTAGAATATACACTTAGAGTACATTCGTCAGCTGGGTTGAAGTCCGGAAAATTGCTTAATTTGATGGAAACGACATGAAATATAAAGTGTTGAGAGATAACGTTCGTGCACGTCGCCGTATAATTCCGACGAAATTTAAATGCATAGTTGCTTATAACGGATAATCAAATAACTTGTAAACTGAAAAATTGTTTTAATTGTTTAAATTATTGCTTGGAGAAACAGGGGATGAAAATATTATTTTCTGTAAAAATTGTTTTTATAGACTTGGGTAATATATCCATTTATGTATTTACTCACTCTTAATTGACCATTTGGTTTCTATACGATTGTCATTCGAAATTTGCTATTTTAAAGAGACTTTATGCCGTATCAACTAGGTAAATTACATTTTACGGTTGACCTACTTTAGAAGGCAAGATGTTCTCATCTTAAGCTCCAACAGCAGTCAACCAACCCATGAGTCAAGGCTTTAATTACACTCGCTGGCTGAGGGCCCAGTGAACACATTTTCTTTGCCATTTTTGCGTGTTATCAGTTTTGGCCTGTAATTACACTTCACTTGTACTCTTATAGAAATTCAGACGTTAGGAAATAAGGAGGAACTGGTTATGGTGGAAAAGTGTTGGCAACATGTGCGCCTTTTTGCAGCAGTTTCGCATTTTGCTCCAATTTCATTTCTCTTTTTTGGGTTGTTGTTGCTTTTTTGTTCCTCTGCTGTTTTCTGTTCCTATTGTTTTTGGGGATTTTGAAAATTTGGCAATTAGCTTAATTCGCTTCTTATTAAAGCACCACAATTATCAGCTCTTGGTCCCTCTTTAGCCTGGTTTGCATTTTCAGATGCATCTGCTGGGAATCTGGCACTGCGCTTGTAAACGATCGAATTAAAAGTTAATGTCTTCCCAGTCTTTTTTCCACATTGATGTTTAAGTAATGGCCTGGGTCCAATGTTTCCCAACTTAAGCTTCGAGTGGCCATCTATTCAGTGTGTTTGGGAGTCTTTAAGTTGGCGAAATGGTTTCCAGAGATTTTGCATCGTAAATTGTTCCCATTTTCCTTTTGATTTTTAGTTTGTTTTTTATACACGCTACTCGTGGATTATAAAGATAAACGCAGCGTATCCAACTTTATAAACATATAAATGCCCACAGATTAAATATATGTAAACAGTCTTTTTTTGATTTCAACATTTTTATCAATCAACCAGTTGATAAACAAATTTTCAAAAGGAGTATATTTAAAACTTTAGAGTAAAATAATAACAATTTATACCAGCCAAATCTAAATGTAGTTAATAATCAGTCGTTCGAGTTTTTATTTGTTTTTAACAAAAAAGGAAAAAAGTATTTCAGAATTTGTCAAGCTTGATAACCTTGATAATATGAAGTTATGTATTCAGTCTTCTAAGAGGTAAACGTTTCCGCTTAATAATTCCCCTGCTTCAGGGATCTGATGATTTTTAACAAAGAAAAGATACACCCAAAAAAAAAATCGCCCTTAAATCAAGAAATTCGCCTTTAAATCAAGAAAATCGCCTATGATTTTCATCCAACGGCGACTCACCTTTATTTTAAATAAATAATTTTCTTGAACTTATGGTTTGCCATTTCTGGAAATAATGACAAATTTTTCTTAAATGTATGGTAAAAAACCTTAAAATTAAGGAAAAATTTATTAAAATAAGAAAAAAAATATTTGTAATATAAGATAATGTAATGTAATACACCTCACATTTGAGGAATTTGGTTGGTTTTGTACACCAATTTTGGATTTTAAATGGATAAAACCGTTTCTAATTTTAATGGCAATTATTACATGGGAATATACAGTCTGAGAAAATGTTTATATGTACCTGAATTTATTAAAGATTTAATTTATATAAATACTTTTTATAAACATATAAATAAATATAACAAATGGAAAAATCCTTACCTCAGACAACCCCGGCGTGAACTCGAACCCGCAACCGCTCACACCATAGCTAGACGTCTTAACCATTCGGCCACGCGTGCTTCTTGTCATACAATGACTAAAGAAGGCTAGGTGTTTTTGGTCCAGCTTTACGCATACCAATTACGTTTATTCTAATCTTAACCTTTTTAACAACCGTTTAAACAATTTGGTAAATAGAAAAGTGAAACTAATAAGAATAAAAATAACATAAATTTAAAAAAAAAATAAAAATAAATAAACAAAGGGTACACTTGCCGTGGCGTGGGCTCGAACCAGGTACTTTTGTTCGATTGTTTATTGACCGGACGTCTTTATCAGCTAGACCACCATCAAAATGTATAAAAAAGTCACTTTCTCTTAAAATATGGGTATTTCTTTCCTAAATTTAAGTAAGAATTTACCATTATTTCAAGAAAAAAAATCAAGAAAAATTCGCCATTAGTTTAAGAAAAAAATACGGTTCTTGCTCTTCTTCATTACAAAAAAAAAATAAATTATGGCGAATTCCTTAAATTGTAGGCATTTTTTCTATAATCAAGAAAATATTTCTTAATTCAATGGCGTTTTGAAATCACGGGCGATTTTCTAATATTTATGGTGATTTTTTTTTTGAGTGTAGGTTCTCCTGTTGCCCTCATTCAGTAACTAATTGTTTCTTGTAATTTTTTTTTTGTCCTAGCACAAATAGAATAAAAAAACAAGAAATGTCCGCGCATTGTCCGCTAAAAAGGGTCACAAGCTGTGCTTTGGTCCCTTATTTCGCTTTTTGCAAACGTTTTTTTCAGCTTTTTCCGCCATTTGGTTTATTGTTTGGACTTTGTTTTCGAGTACATATTTTACTGCAGACGCTTTTGCTCGCTTTTTTCAGGAGCACTTCGAGTGCCCTTTTGGGTCTGTGTGTGTGTGTGCACTGGTGTCCTTTTATCCTTTGCAGTTGTTAGACGCTCATTTAAACTTTTGGCTCTTAGCAGATTTCATTGTTTTTAATGAAACTGACAGTTGTTGCTGTCGTTGGCCTTGTTTTTGTTTAGTTGTCGTTCTCATTTTGCATTGCACCCGCACTTTGACCAGGACCACCCTTTCAGCCGGCTTTGGTTTCCAGATAACGCGCCATTTGTTTTCTTCTGGTCATTCGCCTAAGCCAATTTAAGTTGGCTAAAAT